TGAAAATGAAAACGTAAGCTTCCTAGATGATTTTAAACACGGAATGAGAATTTAAGAATAAATTATTATATAGTTAAAATAATTTATAATCTTTATAGAAAGCTTTCTAAAGGATATTACACAATATCTGTAAATCGAATTGAATAACCAGGTATATTACACAATATCTGTACATCGAATTGAATAACTGAGAACCAAGTATTATATAGTTAAAATAATTTATAATCTTTATAGATAGCTTTCTAAGGGATATTACACAATATCTGTAAATCGAATTGAATAACCAGGGATATTACACAATATCTGTACATCGAATTGAATAACTGAGAACCAAGTATTATATAGTTAAAATAATTTATAATCTTTATAGATAGCTTTCTAGGGGATATTACACAATATCTGTACATCGAATTGAATAACTGAGAACCAAGTATTATATAGTTAAAATAATTTATAATCTTTGGGATATTAGATAACGTTATGATCTTTTCCCTGATCTCGGGCCTGCCCGTACCTACAACAACAACCTGGCGATTGGATGAAGTTTGAATCAATTCCACAGATTTGCTATGAAATACCCAAGTGTACTTAAACCGAAAGGACCCAACAGCAATTACTAATTAATACGCTACATCCCCGCGCTTATAATAAATATATATATAGCGAATATAATAAATTACCTATGTTTTTTCCTTTTCTGAATAATATATTATTATTCGCTCATATTATTTTTCAACATTCCTTCACTATTATATTACTTGTAGATAGCCCGTCAAAAATGACAGTGAATAAGAATTTTCTTTGTTCTTCAACGACAAATGTTACCTTTTATTTAAATATCTAATTTTTATCCTTTTTACCCCCCCCCCCTTCAAACTAATTCCAACCTATTAAGACTAAGAGTGATATTTTGTGAATCAAAATATCTTTAAATTAGCTTATTCTTGAGACCCATAGGAAAATTCTTTGTTAAAATATTACTGATTACCTATGACATTATTTATGATAAAATATGTTTATAAAGTATATATTTAGTTATTTTAATTTATGTGCACAATAAAAAAAATTTTCAAAATAATAAAATTTTATTTATTTATATTTATAATTTATATTCTAAAAAATAGATAAAACATTTACATTTCTACTTTTAAATATAATGTAATTAAAATAAATATTAATATGATGATAGATGGCTAAATAATTTATAGATTAAAATTATAATTTAACATAAATTAAATTATCAAAATTTGTCAATTAAGTAGGACAAACTTCCAATAATTAAAAAAGAAATAGAGTATTACATAATTTAATAACAAAAATATATTTGACTATGATCAGTAACTAATTTATATGTTATGATTTTTATTGGACAAATATTTTTAAAAAAATACTATGGGCTAAATTTGATTGATGTTTTTTGAGGATTATATATATAGATATGAGATTAAAATAAAGGGACAAATTCAAAAGCCATAAAGGCCGATATATTTGGCTAAATTTTATATTACTACAACAAAGTTAAATGAAATTTAGTAGCGATATAATTTGAATCCAGGATGATATTTGGGAATATATACATGGGATATTTGCGAATAAAGTATTAAAAATATTATATATTCATTGTATAAAGTTTTTAAGTTAATTTTTGAGAATGATATTAAGTATACATTGAAACGACCAAGTATTAAAAAGTTATAAAAACATAATTTTTCTAGATAGCTACTGTAATTCAAAATTAATAGTACATCTTCGAATATATTTGTTTAAAAAATGTTGAGATCTATCAATTAGGAAGAAATAGACTTTTATAACAGAAACATAATAGCCTTTAAAGCTACATTATTGGCCTAGCAAATCGTAATAATTTAAAAGGGCAGTGCTTCCATAATTTCTCAGGTCAAAATTTGACCTTGAATTATTTACATAGCTTTTAAAAAAAATTATAATGGGGCTAACCAAATTAAATACGAAATTTAACTAATAAATAACTATATAATGGCAAAAATAGGATGTTTTCTTCTGCTCTAGATTTTGTTTTGGTGTACCACCATTTATTTGTTATTAACTTTCATTTTAATTTGGGCTATTAAACTTATTAAAGTGCTCACTAGTAATGGAGCTCTAAGAAATAAGTTTCATCGTTAAAGAATACAAAATTTGTCACGTCCCTGAAACACTTATTGTTAATAACTCGCTTTTCTTTATTTTTTTTGACATTCCTTTTAAAGAATGCGGAGGATCAATTGAGGCACTAAATATTGGCTCTAAATAAAATTCGAATTAGATTTTGGTAAAATGCCAAAACTTCTATTTTGCATATAACTCACCAACGGTTCATTCCGCTGGTATGGGGTTTATAGATTCTGGAGGATCAATTAACGTACTACACTTTGGCACAATTATCGGTAATTGATCCTCACTTTCTAAATTAATTCTTCTAACTTAACGTTTTTAAAACGGTTATAACTCGGTATTGGTTAGTGATATCGATATCCGGTTTGGTGATTGTTAATGTACGTATTGAATACTACATAATTGCCAAGTTTCATGATCTTTTTTATTTTCGGTTTTGGCAGTATTGGCAAAGTGCCAATACTTTTTTGTTTTCCTTATAACTCACGAACGGTTCATTCCGTTGATATGCGGTTTAAAGATTCTGGAGGATCAATTAACGCACCACAATTTGGTATAGTTTTTGGTAATTGATCCTCACTTTTTAAAAAAATTCCTACAACTTCACGCTTTAAAAACAGGTCATAACTCGGTTGCGGTTAGTGATATCGATATCCGGTTTGGAAATTATTAACGCACAAATTAAAGCCTAAATAACTGCCAAATTTCAGATCGTGATTTTTTATATTTTCGGTTTTGGCTAAGTGCCAACACTTTCTTATTTTGCTCATAACCCAGTAACGGTTCATTCCGCTGCTTTCCGGATAGAAAATCAATTAGGATCAATTAACGGGCTATACAATGGTATAAGTTTCGGTAATTGATCCTCTAATCTTTCCTAGAGCTGCAAATCTTCACACTTTCATTATTTTGCTTATAACTCAATAGCCTTTAATTTTTTTGACATTCCGTTTGAAGAATACGGAGGATCAATTAAGCTACTAAATATTGGCTATAACTAAATTTTTAATTTTGGCAAGATGCCAAAACCTTTCTATTTTGCTTATAACTCACGAACGGTTTATTCCGTTGATATGCGGTTTAAAGATTGGAGGATCAATTACCGCACCACAATTTGGTATAGTTTTTGGTAATTGATCCTCACTTTTTAAAAAAATTCCTACAACTTCACGCTTTAAAAACAGGTCATAACTCGGTTGCGGTTAGTGATATCGTTATCCGGTTTGGAAATTATTAACGCACAAATTAAAGCCTAAATAATTGCCAAGTTTCAGATCGTGATTTTTTATTTTTTCGGTTTTGGCAAAGTGCCAACACTTTCTTATTTTGCTCATAACTCAGTAACGGTTCATTCCGCTGCTTTCCAGATAGAAGATCAATTAGGATCAATTAACGGGCTATACAATGGTATAAATTTCGGTAATTGATCCTCAAATCATTCCTACAGCTACAAATCTTCGCACTTTCATTAGTTTGCTTATAACTCAATAACCTTTGATTCCGCTGATGTCTGGTTTGAAGATCAATTAGGATCAATTAAGACTCTAAATAATGGCATAGGTTTTGGTAATTGATCCTTACATCGTTCCTACAACTTCACGGACCTAATTAAGATAGCTTAAAAATTAACTAAATTTTATTTTATCTAAAGGATTACAAAGCCTAGCTAGCTTTAGCTTGTAAGATTTCTCCAGATAATATAATATATGTTCGACCGTTGAGAATAAAAGGATTACCCAGGGAGAGAATATGAGATTTGTGCAAAACTAAAATATCATCTATCATAGGAAATTTAAATGAGGTTGAAGATCTACAGATGGTGTAAAAATCGAATTTGTTAGCATTTAAAATATAATATTTTCATATTATATTTTAGAAGAATTATTAAAATTATTATTAATGAAATATTCAATTATTGATAAAATTTTTAAACAGTTTTTATTTAATCAATTCATTTGTTTAATAAACAATGGCTTAGGCATAAATTCCACGGGAAAAACTCGATTTTTATATGTGGTAATAATCATTCCATGTTTTAAATAACCGTTCTTTCACGTTTATTTTTTTTAAATGATTTATTTTATTATTTTGATTTAAATCAAAAAATCGTGATCTAAGACTTCATTTAGTAGGGTTTTCACAATGCCCCATCAGTCGAGAGCACAGAGGAGGGATCAAAACCCTTGAAAACGTAGATTAGCCCCTTAGAAATAATTTGGGCATTTTTCTTTAACATAAATTATCTTGTTTTTTCGCTAAGTTTTAGATGGAATTTTTATTTATTTTTTTCTTTAATTTTGGAAATTATTAAGTTATGAGCCCTTATTAGTTAAAAAAAACGTCTAGGAATCAATGTTGATCATTTTGATACAAATAAATTGTGGATATGGTAATAATATTTTTAAGCCACCTATAATAAATCATTGGATAAGTTTTTATGATACAACACTAGATCATCAGATATCATCACCTTTTTTTTTATTCGCGATTTATGTAAAATTAGAAAAATATATCTTTGCGGTTTTTTCATCGAATCAAAATAAAACCTAAATTTAACCTTTGTTTAGAAAATATTTGCTATTTATTTTAAGTCCAAATCGTGGGAAATTCTAAATAATAATTATTTAAATTATAAAATAAGAATTAAAACATCTGCTTAACTTTAACCTTGTTCACATTTATTTTTCATTCGTAATTTACAAAAAAAAACTTTGAAATTTAATTTAGTTTATTAAAAATAAATAAATAGTAATAATTAGTAAAGTATGGTACGATCAAAGTTCGTTTATAATTTTTTTTTATTGGCAAAAAAATTCAAATTTTAACAATTTTAAATTGACTAGTAAACGGCCATTTTAAATTTAAAGATAGAAAAGGCGTGTCATGGGTGACGAAAGAGAAAACAGACGACTTTTTGATGCCTCAATCTCTAAACCATCTTATCAAGACTATGGCGCGATAAACGATACGACTAATTGTAGTCCACCCTTAAAGGCATATGAGAATAATATTATTCAAGGCACACCACATATAGACGCAAAAAAACCATTCCATTTCGATTCTGGACTCGGTTCCGATAAATCATTCCAACAAACCTATGATCAAGATTCGTCCAATCTGACTCCCATCTTGAAATACGAATATAACGGTAATTTAGTCAACGATTACAATAGTTCTCGTCAAAATTCGAATGGTGGCGAATACAAGGATTCCAACATTCCCAAGGACGACATAACACCTGACGAGATATTGACGGTAGTTCGGAAAGAGGGTTCCGTATTTTACAAACGATTAATCACGGTGTTTACCTTGTGGAATACAATGGTGGGGTCTGGTATGCTGGCAATGCCATGGGCATTTTTCCAGGCCGGATATATAGGTTTATTATATAAAGATAGAATTAAGTAGAAGGTACCTTATCGGCATTCTACGCCCAAAACCTAACCGGACCCGATTTTACCGAGTCGTTATCTGTTCCGGTAACGAATATTGTGTAGAATTTTATTTATTTATTAGCTAATGCTTAGAATATATCAACACACAGGAATAATTAATTAGTATATCAATTGAATTCAAAAATAATTTTTGAGAAGAGAGAGATAGAGAGAGTAATGTTAATAAGTTTTTATTTTAATATTTAAAACTTAATTAAACAATGGAGAAAAAAAACGATATAAAATTTTATAGATATAATATGAAATTATAATAAACTATTTGTCTAAGTAATCGGTTCAATTGTATTAAGAGCTTTGAACCTGAATTCGGTTACAGGAATTTTCAACAACTTGACGGAAATTTTGATAACGTAAAACTTAATCGAAAATGGAATCGTTCCCGCGCGGTTCAAAAATATCACGGGTTTGATGGGTTGTCCATAAAGCGGTCCCTATTTTACTGGCTCCAGCAGGAATTTTTCCAGGGGAAGGCTAAAAAAATATTTTTATAATTTGGTAAAATGCGGGGACATTTGTATTTTTAAAAAAAAATTTCACACCAATTTGGGTTTTTATTGCTTTTGTCTTTGCTCGCATTTTGGGTCATTTCGCATGCTTTTTGCATGATTTTCTGTGATATTTCGCCATTTTTCATAATTTTTGCAGCCTCTTACTTTACTTTATTATTTTATGTTATTATTATATTTTGCTTTTTAAAAATATAATAATTATGTATCATTTCGCATTCATTTTGCATATTTTACGCGCATTTTGCGTAATTCTTCCATCTTTTTAGTCGCCTTATGTGATATTAAGTCATTTTGCCTAATTTATGCCTCATTTTGCTTGCTTTTAGATATTTTGCGTAAATTTCATTTTATGTGATTTTCTGTCATTTTGCGTGGTTTAGTATTTCCCATATAAATATTATGAAAATTTATATTTAAAACAAACCTTGGAGGAAGTTTCCAAAATGTGAGTTATTTTCTTAAAATTAAGCTATTTGCTATCTCCTTGACCTGAAAATATTGAAATAATTTCTCAACAATTTTTTTTTAGCTTTTTCTAGGATTCGATTGTGATGGATACTTAACATGCATAATGAAGTTAACTCCACCATCGCACCTTGTTGACCTAAAATAGTTTTCGACCCTTCATGCTATAATAGTTAACAATAAAATATATTATCTTTTCAGTTTGATTAGATTTTAAATATGTGTATCATCTAGTAATCTGGAAAGATTACTCTCGTTGGAATTCGAAGATTGATGCTCTTTATTCTCTTTCCCTCTCTCTTTACATTTTAATAACAAATATTCGTTTCCTTCCTGGAGATTATTTACGATAAATCAGATAATTTGGTTACCATTTTACCAGTGACATCTTTACGGGACTGCAATTTAAATAATAGAAGATCTTAATTTGAGTTATTTCAATTTAGTTTTAACTTTCAAATAATAATTAAAATTAATAAGAAAAATTTAAAAATGTCATCTTTAAATCTGATCATTTCCAGAAAGAAGCAAGCAAAACTTTCAAATAACATAAATATCCCATAAAATAATTAATGTATAAAAATCGCGTGTAATATTTTTCCCAGACCGGACGTCCTTTACCTATTTGTTTGCGTTTTTAAAAATGTCCGATTAAACAAATTTATATTCCTGAATTCGGGTTGGAAGCCAGAATTGTAGATAAAAAAAGGAAATAGAGACAGGTAAATACCCGATTATCTCAATAACCGGGTTGACCACATCACAGATTTGTTTTGTACCCGGTATATCCTTAGAATTAATTAAAAAGTATATTTACTATTTATTTTAAACAAACTGTTAAATAAGTTACATCTTTTTCATAGTAATTCAAGCTAATATTTAGCTGAATATTCATTCATTGTTCTATTAAAAATATTTCAAGTTTAAATTTAATTTATATATATAATATAAACAGCTGGGACTGTATTTATAATATTATTCGGGTTCCTGGGCTTCTTCACTTGCTACTTAATACTCCGACAATCACACAATATAAAGACTCAATTAAAATTTCGCGATCTTCCCGATTTCAGCGACGTGTGCGGATATTATATAGGTCCAAGATGGGGTAGACATTTTAGTTCAGTGATTTCGATATTTTTATTGACTGCCGCAATGCTGGTATACTGGATATTAATGAGCTCCTATCTTTACGACATTGTAATTCACTTCTATAGTCTATATTCGCAGCTTAATCCAAGCTCTGTACCACCACATCTATCGATATACCATATCTTTCACGGAAATGCATCAAATATGCAACAGCCTCAATACAAAATAGGAAAAAATATCTTCTATAAGGTAATGGGTCAGTCCAATACCTCAAACACGAGTTGCCCTCAGGTATACACTTGTAGGACTCAAGGCAGTAATACGGACCCCCAGGGGGTATTATCATGGTGGTCACAGTATCGTACCGCACCCCTGGCCCTAATTCTCTTGCTATTCCCCCTGATGAATTTCAAATCGCCCAAATTTTTTTCACGTTTAAATAGTCTCGGAACGGTTTCCGTGATAACGATAATAGCTTTCGTGACTCGAAAATGTCTTGTTTGTTATTTTTCCTCCGACTCTTCGTCCTTCGTTGCTCCTACTCAATCATCATTCGTTCCTTTTTCACCGTCCTTTCCAAAGCTGACCGGTATACTGGCTCTGGCTCTGCTCATTCACAACGCTTTTATACCTATATTCAACGTAGAAACAAATTTCAGGCCCCTACGCGCCATGGCTCACGATTTAGCCGCGGGTTACTTCCTAGCCACCTTCACTTACCTTTTCGTAGGCTTCGTATTTTACTACGGTTTCGTTCGGGTCGGCCACGGTGGCGATCTCTTGACATGCCCCCTTAGAGACAATTTTCTCGAAAACGTTCCTTATTCCGACACCTTCGCTTGCGCCGTTCGATTGCTATTACTTTTTCAAATGGCGACGGTGTTTCCTCTCGTAGCCTACTTGGTACGGGTCCAGGCTCACTCGCTTTTGTTTCAATCGCTGGAGCGGCCAAAATTAACCGATCGAGGGGAAGACTTGCTCTCAACTAAACAATCGTCTCATAGAAAAATTATGGAAGAACAAGAACCATTACTTACTGACGATCGTTTAGAAAATAACGGTCACATTTATAGGTTTAATATATTTAGATTTGATATTGTAAGGATTATCTTATTAATATTTTATTTTTTAAATGCAAGATTTTTTAAAATCTTAAATAAGGATAGGAGGATTATCGATGATTTGATTAAATTTCATGCCGATTTTTTAAAAATTGTCTGAATCAATATATTATCTCCAAAATGTTACCGAATTCTCTAGATTTAGCTAAAGGACCAGTCCTTTCTTCCATCTTATAGCGAAATGAGGCCTAGCTGTTGGGTAATCATTGGCTAAAACGTTGATTTAGATATTTTTAAAAAATCGTGGAATCGAGATTGCTTACAAAACGTAATCTCACCATAAAATAAAATATAATCCGAAAATAATTTAACCCTATTCCTGAATTAATTTGTAAAAAACATAAAATATAATTAGATTTTCCGCATTGTCTTCAACGGATCCTAGATACTTGTTGCCACTTAACACCGTGCTGGTATGTATCTGTTTGGTTTTCGCGATGTTCCTCCCCAAGATAGGCTATATTTTAAGGTTTGCCGGCGGTTTCTGCGGATTTATTTACATATTTTTGTATCCATGTATTGTTTGGGCCCTTTCATTAAAAGAGTGCGGTCAAATAACTCCTTTAAAATTGACGATTATATTTGTATTGATATTATTAGGCGCCTCAAATTTTGTATCTCAATTTTTTAACTAAAAGTATATAAATGTATTATTTTTTTTCGCGAATTTTATATATTCCAAAATTGTATTTAAGATATATATGTTTAATTATATAATAAAATAGAATAAATAATTAATAAATCATTAGTTAAATTATGAATGCTATCTTTGTTTTAGATAAAGCTATCTGTCGCGCCGGTTTTTGGCGATAAGGCTGATTCGAATATTTTTTTTACCCCTTCATTCATCAAATTAAAAGAAATTGGATTATGGTCCATCAGGCCCTACTTCGGACAATTTGAATCTGTAAATGCATGGCCTTTTCTCTCCGCTTTTTTTCGTCATCCAACCAAGAAAAATAAGAATTGTCTTAATTTTTAGGACCATTCAAATTTTCTGTTTAGAATCGTACAACCATAATTATCATCCACTTCTTCATTTAGCGGACGGAGAAATTTTTAAATAAAACGGATAAAAGAATTTATACCTACATTTTAATTTTATAAAATAATAATTCTATCATTTCGAATTTGGGCTAATAAAATTAGTTTCAGTGATTTTTAATTAAAAATTTAAATGTGAAGGGATAAACTTATTTACATTTTATATAATATTCATTTATTTTTTTATCATGTTATAAAAGCTTTTGGACCTTCATTATTTTATATGTATGCATTCTTGATTAATAAATTTTGAGCCATGAAATAGTAGCGAACATCTTTGACAAAAAGATAGGCATCAGTTATCAATTATTTCTCAGTTTTATATATAAATTAAAATATGTTTTTTTTGTCTAAACGCTTCCATGACAAAATATAAGTAACTATTTATGTTTTTTTTAAAAAATCCTAATCTGCATTTCTAATCTCATAAACAAATTTAGAATGAATGGCTTATAAATTATATTACATGTTCAAAGTAATAAAAAGTATATAAAAATTTGGTAATGATGTTAAAATTGAATATTAGATTTTCCGAAAGTTACATTCATGAGATAATTTTGTATAGTTATGGAATTTATAGATAGCTATATTAAACCATTCCCATCCATATCTCCATGGCACTATCCAATTGGTTCCGTAGATGAAGTAAGCAAAATAAAAGGTGAAAGTCAAAAAATTTTCAAAACAAAAATAAATGATTGCATTTATTCATTACCTTGAATAGGCGTCCAAATTCGATTTCGAAAATTGCAATAATGAATTATTTTATTAAAAATAAAATTTTGACTTTGGAGATTCTTTTTGCATTTTTTTTATAAAATCTTATGAAATTTGTAAGTAATCCACAAAATAACCAAATATAAACTATAAATTAAAAAAAAACCCTAACCCTTGATAAATAATTATTCTTCTGTAAAACACTGGCTAGACATCTTGTCATTTGCCTTTAATACTTTACAAGTTACTGATTCTGCCAGCAAAAAGTCCTTGACCCTGCAAATTAAGGATGCAAATATCTACCCCTTACCCATTAATCACATTTCCACATCCTTTAAGAGTGATGACACAGATAAAAATCACAAAAACGACCTGCTCACTAAGGCCAGACTAATATTTAAAAATGTGGATCTGAATGTTAAATCCGTCTACGCCTGGCAACCTCTGACAATAAGCTGGCTCTTTACCATCAAGCAACTTATCAAGCTCTTGTCCTAAAACATCACTAACACGATCTTGAGGACGAAATACCGTTTTACCCTCGATCCCCTTTAATTGCAGCCACTTATACCACAAGCGACTTTAGAAAGGCTATTCTCATCTTCAAACGCGATTCCTCATATGAGTTTCACCCAATATTCCCATAAGATCTAACCGCACCTTACATCACACAACAATGCTACGTTTTGGAAAAATTGCCCAACTCATCAACCGTATGCTTACTGGAGGCATACCACCCGCCATTGTTCCACTCCTATACGGAGCTAAACTCATCGCTCTCCTTAAACTTAATAAAGATATTTGCCCTATCACTATTGGAATCACTTGGCGCCGATTAACTTCCAAGCTAGAGTAAGCAGAATATTCACATATCCAATCACCTGTGCCCGAATCAATTAGGGATATCCCTTCACATGGCCCGGATGTATTTACAAACAGAGCGATGATATCCTAGTCAAAATAAACATTTCGAACGCCTTTAACAAAGCGTAGAATAAATCCTATCCTCACCTACTCAGAATACTAACAATTTATCTTCGAATGTTATGCTAGTCCCTCGCACCTCCAATTTGGAGATAGATAGATTCTTCTAACTATGGAATAAGCGGGATCAGTTTGAGATTGCAAATAAATTCAGACAAGAGCGAATATTGTCCCCTTGGGATCATTGACCTTAATCAGGATCTTATGTTCAATAATACACCATTGAACTCTTTGACACATCTCCTTCAGTAGGTAAAGACGAGTTCTTTATCAAGTTCCTTACCAGCCAACGATAACGAATACTGAGCAGTTAAACCATTCGGACAACAAGCTCTCAAAGATAGCTATATCATACTTTGGGGAAAGCTTCTTAGAAAAAATATTATATCCTCTTTATTAAATAAATAAATTAACATTATATTTTTATATATTATATTATATTTTTTAATATAATATTTATTTTTTTAATAAATCTTTCGCATACCAGCGATCGCAATTGTTCGATTGATTGTTGACTGATGTTAATTTCTCCATTTGTCATATTTTAAACTCAACAAACAATTCCTCATATTTTTATCCATTTCTTAATGTTTTATGTTTCAAAAAAATAAAATTCAATTTTGATCTAATTTATTTTTCCCTTCTTCTTTTCTTATCTTTCACATTCACTCACTAGCACTCATAAATAATCATTCAATCTTTTATGAATTAACACAACCCGCATGGCCTTGCTTAAGCGCAAATGAGCATTCAACGCATTAAACTCAAGAAAGAAAACCGAAAAAAATTTGAACCCGACGATGGCACTCTAAGGGCTACACCGTCACTGAAAACGGATAAAAAAAGACACTCCCTCGATAGTGCCAAAGCGATATTTAAGGAGGAAAAGGAAAACGTATGGGTTCCCAACCCTGCTCGTGATAATTTTAATAAGCGACATTCACTCAAATCAAGTTCTAAAACCATCAATAAAACGAAAATATATACGTTACCATTCAAAGATACCTGTTCCAAAAAATCTGTAATCAATGATGTCTATTACGATGAAAATATTGGATTCTCTTCTCCAAAATCGGATTCAAGTTTAGCTCAGTCATCATACTTAATCGATAGCGAGACAAATGATTCATTGTTCCCCGACGAAAAAAATAACTTTATTTATTACCCTTCCCAATCCAAAAGGATCGTTTCACCCCCTCCTCCACCGCCTAACGCGAATATTAAATATCCCACCATAGTTAAAAGGTCAACGATAAAAAAACAAAGCCCTCTAAGTAAAAAAGCTCAAAAAGAGGTGTCAAATATTTTGAATGATGATAATGCTTACGAAAATGACACCTTTCACTATATAAATGAATTCGAAAAACCAAAAAAACACAAATCCAAACATAAAACCAAAGTTTCTCGCCATCTATCCAAATCGGCTGCAAAGAATTATGACGATGACAACGTCAATCAAATTCATGTCGTTAATAATTTCGCTAAGGGAAGTTTTGATGATTTTACCAAGCACTCTACCAAAGTAGTAGAGAATCCAATATTAGTTCATTTGAACGACGAATGTCAGACATCAGTCCTATTCCTCCCAGAACAAGAAAGCCCCAAGCCGACTTTACAAAACACCAAAAACGTATCTTCCAAAAATACAAGCAAGGCTTCTAAAATCAATAAAAATCATATGATGATACGGGGAATGGAGATTTTGGATGAAGTAGAAAACGACTCAAAAGATGTTAGAAGAAAAAGTTCTAAAAGGGCTTCTAAAGTCGGAAGAAGCAACCAAAAAGTTGGAATTGATATCGACTCACTATACGATCCAATAAACAATGAACAAAATATCCCAGACATCGACAACTTGGCGGATTATGAAAAAGATGAATTTTACGAAGAAACGGGGCCAACAAAATTGGAGCCAACAGTGCCGCCCACCCAAGAAAGTGTCCGGAAAAAGAGCATAGCCAGGAAATACAGCTTAACCAACGAGGTCACCGACATCGACAAGTATATGAATCTTCAGGACTTCGACGATGGGCGAAAAGGTAATAAGAATCAGAGTTGTTTCATAGGAATCCCGGATAGATCTTCAAATAATACTGGTATGGGCAATGAACAAGAAAAAGAAAAGATCCTGAAATTTAGGATCGAAAACACAGATTTAGCCGATATCTTTAGAGCACTCGATCAAAGCGATCAACAATCGCTGGATTACATGCTCGCTTACACTTATGTTCTAAAAAATTTTATCGATCTTGACACACGGGTGGAACTATACGCCATCAAGGAGTTAACATTTTTGACACTGATTGGCGATAAGGGTACTAAAGTGTACGACGAAAAAAGATTTTACGATACCCTGTGGAAATGGCTCAACCACGACTCAGCTCGGAAAAAATTGACAGCTGAAGTTATGAGTCACGTAAGATTCAATTCGATCCCTAAGGATTATTTGATCGGCAAATGCTTCGAGGATTTAAAGGATCAAGAAATCTGCAAGGAATGGATACGTAAGGCGTATTGGTACAGAGATTACACTGAGAAAGGTAAGGAAGATATTTCACTTAAGAATTATTTCCCGCCCGAGAGATGCGTGAGTGGAATGAACAGCAGTTATATTAATAGCAACAACCTAGATACCAGTATTGGTAGCATACCAAACCTTCGATTTAAGAGCATGATTCAGGATAATCTTTTACCTACCGTGCTACAGCCAACTAATCTTAACATGTTCCCATTGTCTCCACTTGCGAGTTATCCCGCTGATAAAAATACTTTTTTTAACTGTCAGAATCCTATGGCGGGAAGAATAATAAATACCTCTCCGGTATACAGTCAATTGCTCCCCGCCTTGAACCAATCTGGAAGAATTCTAATTTCGACGCCGCAAACGATTCCCACCGCGTTCAATAATTGTAATTTAACGAAATACCCGGCCACAATGATAAATACATCACCAAACATTTTCTCTTCAAACCCACTTCCTAACGCGTGGAATTCATTCAAAATATGAAGAAAAAATTTTTTTATTAAAAATTTATATATACAAATAGTTTACCAGATCATTAATAATTCATACGTAATAAATAACAAAATTTATTTATAGCGTATTGTAATATTTTTTTGGAATTATATATTCTATTTTTATTATTATATAAAAATTATTAGGGCCCCTTTATTCTCTTGAAATATATGTCAAAAACCGTGGAAAGAATTGCATATAGATTTGGCAGGGCCACTAGAATCTTATTAGTTAGTTTTAGTGGAATCTTTCTTATTGATTAGTTTTAGTGGTTTCTTATCCAAAATGTGAGGTATTTCAGTTGAAGATTACAACTTCCAATACAATTATTAGAAGGTATAAAATTTCAATTTTATTGCCTAGTGATGCAAAATCGCTCCACTCAAGCCAGCTGCCTCGAGGCTGAGTTAAAAAAACCAGCTCAACTTTGGGAGCTCGAGCCGAAAAAAATGTCTTTATCTTGGAACGCCAGTCGAAAAGTCGGTTCACCCTAAAATGCGAGCTGATGAAATTGGCTAAGGCTTGGAGCTCAAACCGAAAAAAAATGTTCAACCTTACAGCGCGAGCCCACAAATTTGGATTAGCCTTAAAGTTTAAGCCATTAAATCGATTAGCTAATCGCTTTTATTTTTATTATAATGGCAATAGATATTCTTGCTACTGTATCATATATATAATTTCAGTGTATTACCGCTTAAAAATGAAACCTAATAATAATAATTTGACTTGTTATTATATTATTTGGCTATTTTCTAAGAAAAATAAATATCGATAGGAAAAATTTTTGTTTCTGAAAATATTAATTACGAAGTTAAACGTTTGTAATTTTTTTTTATTGGTAAGTATTATATAACTAATTGTGTTGAGGAGCGAGATGGGTTAAGTGACACTTATCGCTTATTTAAAAAAGGTAGTTAATCATGTAAAATTATATCAAAACCAATTGCAATATTCAGTATCGTTTTTTTATTTATTATAGTTATATAAAAATTATTATTCAATAAATGTAAAAAATTTATCCCTTCCCTCTTGTTTTATTATATACAAATATAATAAATTTTCCTATTACTTGGGAAACACTGACACATATAAACATATTTTTACATAATTTAAAAAAAAAATTGTATATAATTTCAAATATTTATATAAATTTTAAAATGATATAAATAATCATTTAAAAAAATGTGTTTCCATTCATCACATCTTCAAACAGGATATTTTCAATAGAAGAAATAAACATGTTTTCATTGATAACTATAGTTAAAAGGGTGAAATAAAATAAAACTAACATCCTCATATGAATCTTATCGATAAAAGAAAAAAGGAAGATATAAATTTAATTATCTTGGCTGGGGAGGAAGAAAAAACAATATATTAATTATATATTTTTTTTTTTTAAAAAAATTCAATTATATCCATTCTTTTATAATAAAAATAAACATGATTTTATATAATTTCTTCTTTTAATAGTAAACAAGATTTTAAAAATTCTATATTCCTAGAATCTTTCATAATTTAAAGTTAGAGGATATTTTAATTAATTGATACCTATATTGATATATTGTGTTGATAATAATAATCCAGCTACTTAAAGTACCTAGACCCACCCACTTGGAATAATAAGTAAGATTACAATCAAAATATCTAAAGTAGCTTTTATTTGACATCTGTATTAATACTTTGAGTTGATAAAAACATTTCTGACTCCTCAAGACTTAGATACTTCAACTAGGAATAATAATTATACAATCAAAATATAATTAAATTAACTTTTATTTGAGGCCCATATAAATATCTTGCACGGATTCCCAGGTATAAACCCCGGGTGTGTGCTCCGGGTTCTTGCTCAAAGCAGGCCTGAGCACCATTACGACCAAACATATTAACAAAACTATACTCTTAGCCAAATATAATATAAAAGGTTTGTGAAAGATAATACACAAATTTTGAATTCAAGGCTGTGCCAATATTTTTAGCTGCACTCTTAGCTGATTATTTTTCGGATCTCGCTCAAAGGCTGGCTTGATTTTTGGCTTGCGCGCCAAGTTTGAGCCGTTTTTTTTGGCTTGAGCTCCAAGGTTGGACTGATGTTTTGGCTTGGGAACCAAAGTTGAGTTGATTTTTTTGACTTGTGTACCAAGGTTCAGACTATTTTTTTGATTATGAACTCGGCTAAGCCGTTTTGAAATCTGCCATTTAAAAAATATTTCTTGGACGAATGCCTATAGTTATAAGAACGATTCGAAAACTTAAGGAAAAATATAGAGTTATGCGAGATTTTGGAATAGATTCTGAAAATGCTTTAAAAGATGTTTTGAAGACATACCGTATGAGTGAACATAGTATAGGTGGTCGAAGTCCTGCTAAGATAATGTTAGGCTGACAGAAAAAATCAATTTAGATTGGGATAGATAGGATACCCATAATGAAATAGAAAAATCGCTAAATTAAAAAATAATAATTGCAATTTAAAATGTAAGATACGAGATTTTAAAGATTCGCAACCTGTTTGGGTAGATAATAATATTATGTCAGGCTGGCGGAAAGGATTATAGGTTCTAATTTGTTATATATTGTAGATTCTGCTGATATAACTGGGAATGAGTAGTCTCATCGAACATGATTAAACAGAGAGAGAGAGAAATTTGAACACATAAGTTAAAGAAACTACTGATTCAAGTAGTATTGGAGGATTAGAATTTCCAAGTATCGCGCAATGTTCACGAAATATCAACGTAAAGATTTATCGAAGAATGATATAAATTAATTTTGGCGAAATATAATATAGTGTATGTATCTATATTATTATTTTAGAATTATTTATATTATTATTATGTAAAAATTGTTAGTTTTAAAAATGATTATTATATAACAAATAAAAGTAGATTACATAATGCTAACAAAGTGTCCTAGATTTATATTATAATTAAATTAAATACAAATTTACATTGATAATATGTTTACTTAGGTTTTAAAATATATCATATTCTCTGGATTTGAAGAAATTAATCTGTTTTTATTTACAGCATTTATTTTATTCAATTTCTTAATTAATGAATAAAGAAAGATATTTTTCTTGTCACTCATGTTTTTGTGCTGAGATATTTTTATTGGTATAAATCTACACTAGTTTATATAAATTCTTGGAAAAATAATTTATTATTATTATTTTTTTTAACAAATATGTTTATTTTAAATTCTAAATTTTATTGTTTACTTAAAAAATACTAATTTTTCCCCCAAATTCTCTTAGAGTGATATATTATATTGTACACATTTTTTGGAGAAAGGGGGATAGGACGGAATGTAGGGAAAATTTTTTATTGGCTTAAAACAATATTTGTGAGAAAACACAAATTTTATATACTGGAAATTCCCCATTACCCTGCCTCCTGGCTGATCATTTGGTATATATTATAAATTTAATATTAGTTATAGTTAGTGGATAACCTAGTCATGTGGAACCTAATATTAATCATTCATTCACACAGTTATTTTAAATTTAATTTTTTGCTGCATGACATCCATAATTAAATTTGAACCTTTATCTGGGGTTTATGATGAATCACCTCTTGCATATTTATTACAAATAGATGAATTTACGTTTCTTCTAGACTGTGGTTGGGATGAAAATTTTAATTTAAATCATATAAAAAATATAAAGAAGTAAATGTTAATAAATTTAATATATTAATTATCATCTATAATCAATTTACAAAGATATATTCATCAAATTGATGCAGTTTTACTATCATACCCTGACCTGTATCATTTGGGAGCTTTGCCTTATTTGGTGGGTAAATGTGGCTTATTAGCTCCTATTTATGCAACTATACCTGTTTATAAAATGGGTCAAATGTTTATGTATGATATATATCAAGTAAATATTTTTAACATAGAAGCTAAAACAATTTTATCTCATATAAAGTCAAGGTATAATAATGAAAATTTTGATGTCTTTTCACTTGATGATGTGGATACAGCTTTTGATCGTATTACTCAACTTAAATTTTCACAGACAGTTGGACTTAAGAGTTAATTTATAAAATAAATTATAATAAAACTATCATTCAATAGTAATTATTTTAGATGGCATAATTTTATTTGATTACCTTATTTATATTATGATTTGAAATAATAAATTTTTTTAAAGTATAAAAAATGTAGTTTTCAAAACATATTTATTTAAATTTACATACAATGTTTAATATACATTTAATTCATTAAGGTAAGGGTCATGGTTTACAAATAACTCCCATTTCTGCTGGACATATGATTGGGGGGACTATATGGAAAATAGTCAAAGATGGAGAAGAAGAAATTATATATGCAGTTGACTTTAATCACAAAAAAGAACGGTAATGTTATTGTTTTATTTAGTTGTATTTTATTTAGAATATTAGTATTTTGAGATAGCCTAAGCTAAAGTTTTAACTAATACTAAATAGATTAAATGGGGAAATAATTAACAATATTAAGTCTAAATAAGGCTAAGTAAAAGTTACATTATTTCCTTTAGAATAAATCAGGAACTGATTTATTAAACCTATAGTTTTAATATGATTTGTAACACATTTGTCATTTATGTTTAACAATATTCTTATAAAATTATTTAATTTGCCCTAATTATTGAAAAAATATTTTTTGAAATTTATTTAGAATATGATAATTTTAATATTTTTTTTGTCAAAATAAATTTGGCAAATTAAACAATTTTATAGGAATGTTGTTGCACACAAATGGAGAATCACAGTAAGTACTAATACCTTCAATTTTATATTGAAAATTTTTATGATCACTCTTAGAGTATTTAGATGATTCATAGTTTCCTTTCAACTTAACATATTTTCAAAGTTATGAAAATGCAATTTTATAATAATTTAATTAATACTTTTTTAATAAAATCAATACAGTCATTTAAACGGTTGCCAAATCTTGGAAAGTCTATCTAGCCGCCAAAATATTAAAGGTAACAAATAATTGATATTTATATAATGCTGTCTTCAATATTTTTTAAGACAGCTTAAGAATATTTTTCTTATTTAGACTATCTAGATTTTCTTCATTCAATAGAATATTTTAAGATGATTTCGTATATAATCATTATAAATTTTAGTATTGTTAAATTTATCTTAAAAATAAATGTGGCAGTGTTATAAATCTACAATGAACGGGTTTTCGAATTGCCCATATATAATGGTATAGAATATATAATTAGAATTTAAATTTTGCCTTTAATTTATTTATAAAGGTATTGGCAGCAGCACTTTATCCACTGACAAACCATGCAGCTTGCTTATAACGGACACAATAAATGCACTCTACGAACAAAGCAGGCGACGGGTAAGGGACGAAGCCTTAGTGACAAAAATACTTCACACGCTCAGAAGTCAAGGCGGGAACGTTCTTTTACCCATAGATACAGCTGGTCGGGTTTTGGAAATCGCTCATCTATTGGTTTGAACCCCCCCCCCCCACCACCCCATTATCTGCACTTATTTCTGTTTGAGCCTTGAAAATAAAACTATTTTGTTTAAAAATTTTCCCAGACATAGTTATACGTATATTTATGCAGGAACCATTCTTTAAATTCCACTTAAAAAATATATTTACTATTTTATCGATAGGATCAACTATGGCGTAATCCCGATTCAGGGTTTGGTTCATATCCCCTTGTCCTCTTGAACAACGTTAGTTATAATGTAGTCGCCTTTGCTCAGTCGCAAATAGAATGGATGAGCGAAAAAATTTCAAAATCCTTGGTCATCAATAGTGATGGAAATATAAATTCTTCTTCCAGCCCAGATTTTCACAATTCCATGAATCAATCTCCTTTCCATTTCAAGCATTTGCTACTCTGCCATAGCCTGTCAGAACTCGATAAAATACCTGACCCTAAAGTAATTTATTTTATTTTATATTTAATTTTTTTTAACTTCATAAATGACTCTACAATAAAACAATGAGTAATGCGATTTGCGATTATTGTTTTAACATTATCAATGTATCAATATTACCATAATAATATCTGATAATCATATAATTAATGTTTTCAAAGGTGGTGTTAGCCTCTAGCCCAGCCTTGGACAGCGGATTTTCAAGAGATCTTTTTTTGGAATGGTGTGGAAACTCTAAAAATTCTGTTATTCTAACCGTCAGAACGACCCCTGGCACTCTGGCTAGAACCTTGATCGATGATCACACTGGTTCTATTAAGACGATAACGCTGGAAGTAATGAATATTTTATTTAAGTTAAAATTACTGGAAAGCTTAAAACAATCATTTTTATCTTTTATGTGGTCGGCTATAAGGCTCCAAATATATTTTTTGGAAGATATCTGAAAATATGTAGATAGCGACTTATTTGGCCAAGAGAAAACATAGTGAAAACTGAATGAAGCTTAGAAAGAGTATATAAATTTTTTTGGGTCGAATAATATTCTAGAGCCCATTTTTAAAAACCTAACCGCAAATCACAACTATAGGAACATAGTTATGCTAGACTGAACGGCTGAACCAAATCTAAAGACAGAACCTCCAAGGGGTATAACCCGAGAAAATCGGACCTCTGACCTTCATCATCAGTTATATAATCATAAGGTTATGCTTTCGTTTTACAAAAATATTATATGTTTTATAGTTATCATTTTAAAATATTTTTCATTGCTCATAAATATTTACATGCCTCCAAAGTTGAATTATGCGAATGATTTTTTTTTAAAAAAAGAAATAAATAGTAATAATTTATATATATATATTTTTATAGGTTAAGAAACGCGTTAAATTAGAGGGAGAAGAGCTCGTAGAATACATAAAAAAGAAAAGGTATAATAATCATAATCATCTCAACCCAATACACCCCTGGAGAAAACAAAAGAAACGATTATCTACAGAAGCTACAGAAGAACTAACCAGCACGGAGATCGACAAGTGAGGATAATTATCTCACCCCCTCCCCCCAATAATTTCCATTAATTAATAATATATGATTATGCTACATCGAGTCTAAAAAAATTGTGGCAAATGTTTGAGTATGGTCATCCATCTTTGTTTTGTTTATGTTATACTGGTTTTTTTAATTTAAAAATTAGAAAACCGGAAGAGAAGGCTTCGAAAAAATTATCCGATTCTGATTTCTCTACTGGTAGCGATGATTCGGAACTTTCTAGCACATCCTCAAGTTCTGATGACTACGAAAGTCTAACTCGCGACGATAGTAATAAATCGTTTAGCTCCAAGAAAACTAAATCACGACAGAGATTACCATACGATACTTACATAAAAGACGATGTAATATATTTAATGATATATGCTATACTCTAACTTCCAACTACAAATATTATGTGTATATATTTTTATGTTAGAAAGATAGAAAGAAGGAGAATAATTTAGGATTGAATTGCAATACAGTTTACTCAATAATTTCGCATTTATATACTACTAATCTATTTGTCATGACAAAATCGACAAATCATTTTCTTATGAACTTTTTTTTGTGAAAAATAAATTAACAAGGTTTACATTGACGAATTACAAATAACCGATTTTAAGAGATATCGAAAACGATTGGTCATGTTTCCTTATGTCGAACACAAAGTTAAATGGGACGATTATGGGGAACCAATAGAGTTACTTCCTATATTATATTATTAATTTGGAAACCTTGAACATTTATTATTAAGATGGAATCTGATAGCATTTTAAATTCACCATTTAAATTAAAGAATTATAATAATGACAACACATAACTTATTATTATTTCGGAGATCTGGATGTCGAAATTTTAAGCCTAGCCTGGATTTTCAAATTTTTTTAAAACATTTTGGCCCATGTTTTGTAAAATGCCTTTAGCGGAAATTGAGTATTAAATGAAATGTTATAGTGGTCGATTATATTATTTTCCAATGATAAATTAATTTTTTACAAAATAGGTCCAGCCCCGTGTTTATGATTTATAAAATAATAATTTTAACAGAATTTTATAAATGTATTCTTTTATATTTTTAACCCTTATTTTTTGTTTAAATATCCATTTTAGTCCAAACGACTTTAATTTATTCGAGAAAATGAGCATAGCAGACGATAACACCAATAAAGTTGAAAACAATGATGCCACTAAAAAAGAAAATGAGAACAATAAATCTCCCAACGACGTTAAAAATTTTACCTTTTGTAAGATGTTATTATTATTTTTCCCTCTTTTCATTGGCTTGTACATATAAATTTATTTACCTCCAATAAAAAGAGACAATTTGATTTAAAAAAAAATTTTGCAAAATTATTTTAGCCGAACCTACAAAATGTATTTCGACCCCGAGAACCTTAAATATTCGAGCGTCAATCACTTTCATTGATTTCGAAGGCAAGTCCGATGGCGAATCCTATAAAAAAATCATATCTCAAATTAAGCCCAAACAATTGGTTGGTATTTAATATAAAGTTGATTTCCATTAATAAAGCAATCTATTTTTGTTAGTCCCACTGGTTTGTATTTTATGCACAAATCGAATAACAACATTTTGACTATCATATATTGGTAATATATGACAGTCAATGATTAGAAAAAGAGAAATAGCCAACCTTTCTTTCTTGACAAACTTGAATACATTTGCATATTAAAAGTATTATGTTCATATATATATATCATTTGTTGAAAGATCAATTAATAAATAATATTTAAATGAAATAACTAGTAATTATATTAAATTAATGTTTATTATGAATAATTATATTGGTATATTATAGTTATTTTATATAAGGGTGTCAACAAATATAAGATATAGCTTCCATAACAAATACATATACGTTTTTTTGGTATATGATATTGACTACTTCATATTTGTATTATAATGATATAAAAGGCCTCATTTATAGTAAACGCGTTATGTTCAAGCGTTGCGTTTAACGCAGCATTATACAAAATTAAGCCAATAAATAGGTATAAATATATAAATATGAAGCGTTACGATAAAATTTGAAAAACAGCGATGCGTTGATTAAAAAAAATATACCATACGATTATAAAAATAATAGCGAATTCAATAAAAAACGTAATGATTTTTCTTAAATATTATAAATAATTATCTCTATTTTAACTTTATCTTAAACTAGTTTTTAAAACTGAATCAGCTCTAATAACTCAACGCTTGAAAATAACGCAACCCAGTATTGGATATCTGATATTTGTTAAGACTTGATTATACCCAGATCAATCTTTTTATATTTTATGATAAGTAAACCAAATAAAAAACAAATATAAATCATATTTTTTTTAATTTAAAAAAATTAAAAAAATATCTTATATTCAAATCTTGGAAAAACAATTTCGAAATAAAAATACGAACTATTGGCTAGATTTTTTTTCTAGTTTATTATTTTTTTATAAAAATATTCATTAATCTTTTGAATTGAAGATATTGGTACACGGTCCTGAACACGCCACGATGGTTATGGCAGATTACTTTAAAAATCATCCTTCATTAGGTTTTTTTAAAACCTTTTATGATATTTATTTTATTTTAAATATAATTGAAATACACAGTGATAGACATATTACTATAATAACTATTACCTAGTATCATACAAATATAGTTTTTTCTATGAGACGATATTTAATTTTTAAAAAATTTCAGTGAAAGTTTAGAGTTTTTTTTCCATCCATTTTTTAAGGAGAAGAAAGAAGGATAATCCCTATGTCTCATTTTATAGTAAACCCGAAATACCGCGATAAAGACGATGCGTAATTTACAAAATACGCAATGTATTTATATAGCCATGCTAACGTTTATTGATAAATTACTCGTGGTTTGAGCGATATCTCGATATTTCGCGCTTACTATACGAGGCCCTTGAAGTTAAATCTTAAGCGTCAACATTATATTCTATTCGTTTCAGAAAAAATATCATTTACCAAAATATTTTATAGAAATTTTTTCTCAACAATATTCGAAGGTATACCTAAGAATAAAATATTTTGTCCAAAATTAAACGAGGTGCTTAACGCTACGCTAGAATCTCGGATATTTAAAGTATATATTAAAATTAAATTATAAATAATAATTTTTTTTGCTAATTTATATTCCTCCCTTCCTTCTCTCATTAGATAGAATTTAAATCCAATTTTTAAAATAATTTTTAGGTAAAAATGAAGGATTCGCTCACTAGTACTTTTCGATTTTCCAGATATAAAGGCATCGAATTGTCTAAATTAGACTCTAGCGTTGTGTATGAGCAAGATGAACATGATATCGAAAAAGGTGATTAGATAGATTTTCATATAAATTAAGGCCCTGCAGTTCGGTCCGAAAAAAAATTTGCCCGGTTTGGTACGAAACTTAAAGTTTTAAAATTAGGTCCGGTCCGCTCAAGCCTGACCTCGAGCGGGCGGATTCAGGCTGGTTCAATGCGAAGCCGTTTATATTCTTAGATAAAAAATTGACAAATTTTGATACTTAATTTATTAACCCATCTTTTTTAAAGTACAAATACGCATTATAGGTTTTGAATTGATTGGTGATGAATGTAAAATATTGAGTTTCCCATATTCAGTTCCTTACAATTTTTTTTCTTTCTCCAAAGATTATTTATATTTCATTGATGAGGTGTTTAATAATTTATTAATTCTTTACGAGAGTGGCCCTGCCCTGCTATTTTTTTATTTAGGTCTGACTCAATTTAAGCCAAAATGAATACGATTTAATCTGCCAACACAAACATATGTTAAGCTTAAAAATCACTTTAAATTCACACCTATTGAGAAATATCATTTCACAAAATGGTGTTAGTTCCTCCTAGTTTAAGCTAGGCCTTAGGCTTTCTCAAAAAATACCAAAGATAAAATATATCAAACGTACTCAAATCTCTTCCGAGAGAACTGCATTTGACCTGTTTTAACGAACAAGCCAGCCCACTCATTTTTAAAAATTTTTTAACCCACCCACCCATATTTTTTTTAAATCCCTCCCACACCCACTCTCCCATTTATCTATAAAATTTTGTTTGACCAGTCCACCCATTGTCTAAAAGTTATTATTGTTGGTTTGGCACTTTATTTATTTTAATATATTTTTAATTAAATTATAAAATACAATATTATGAAATAGAAAAATGTGAATTTTAATAAATAGAAGTCTCTTCTACGCGTTTCGCCTTAAAAATATTTAAAATTCACCCGCATAATTTAAAAAATATTTTTTAACCTGCCCGCCACCCGTTCAATGTAAATAATATTTTAGAAATCTCGTCCGAAGAATGGGCGAGCGGGTTTTTAGTCAACCCATTGACCTCTAGTTTCCTCCACTTTTTCCTCTTAGCGACTTCACTGCTTTAAATTGATTCTATTTCATTGTTAAGTTCTTAAATAATTATTAGGTTAATGTAACTAAATATTATAAAATAAATGTCTGGCGATCCTAGAAAATATTTATATCTCAAACAAAATATTGGGTTCGAAATATGTAGATCTAATCTTCTTTCCATGCATGACATTAGATAGAAAAATTGCTAATAATACCGTTAACAAACATAAAATATATTTAATTTTACAGCAGATATATTATTCCTTAATGCAAGTTTAATAAATGATCTTGACGTAACCTTCTAATTTATTAATTTCTTTACTCTTTTCGCGAGAATATATTTATTTTAATGTTTTTATTATATATTGCATTATTCCACAATAGTATTTACATGCATTTCCTGCATTTGTGCCTTGGGGCAAGGAAAGAATAGTTTTAAAGCTTGCTATATTTTAGGTGTGGCCAAGAGGGTCACATAAGGGAGGATATGGAGGTCAGAGGAATTAGGAATTGGAAGGGGCTAGTAGATGTTTTAGGTATGGCAAGGATGATCATTTATTAAGACTGAGATCAAGCCTTGGGTTGACCTTTCTCTAAGCAATAATTAATATAAATAACTTTATTGTAATAATCATATCAAAAGATAAAAATGACTAATTGCTGGTGATGGTTTACAATCACATCTCCAACCAGTGTTTGTTGAATAATTCTATCTCTAATAGTATTTAATTTCAATTCTAGATATTAATATATGAAAAAATAGTCCATTTTCCAGTAACTGAATAATTAATGGTTGACGTTGCCAGCTATAAAATATATCATGAAAACGTAAATCATGACAGTTATCATTATTTATCATTATTTACAAAATCTTCAATTCATATTATATTCAAGATGGCGACAATCGGATTCCTTGTTTAGATGCTCCCAACCCTGAATCTACTGAAAATAACGATGGGAACGTGAAGACCGGAACCCATTTTATTGGTGATATTAAGTTGACCGATCTTAAACAAATATTGATTTCTTCTGGACTTCAACAAGTCGAATTTATAGGACCAGTATTGGTCTGCAACGAGTTAATCGCTATCAGAAAGGTTATCATGTTTTTTAAAAAAAAAATTATTTTTATAGTATTACACATCTTATATTAACAAATAAAGTTGGTAAATAGGAGTAGGACTGAACCAATTAGATATTTATTTTAACTATGATCCAATATCAATATTGGTGCAGCTCACAGCGAAGCCAAATAGTGGAAAATTTCCTGTTCTAGTAAATATCATTTTAATCTAATAAAAAATAATTTACCCCCCTCTTTCTATATATCAATACATCACTATAAACAATCATTTTAAATAAAAATAAGTAAAAATAAATAATTTTTTAAAATAAATATCGTAATTCAAATTTTTAGGAGAAAAGCTTTTATATATAAAAAAGTGAAAACCCAAAATTATTTCTATAAAAATATAACATAGCTAAATGGATATAAAGATCCTCCAAAAAACCAACCTAATTATCCCCCCCCCTTTTCCCATAGGGAAATCCTGGGTACGCCTATGGTGCAGCCCTAAATAGTAGATAAAGGAAATAAATTCAGGCATAATATTTATTTAGACTAATTGTAAAATATATAAATCACTCACCTTAATGATTAAAACTTGGATAATTAATAAAATTTAAAAAAATATATAATTTTTTGTTTATTTTATAGAATGAAGCAGGAAAATTAACTTTCGAAGGACCTATATGCAAAGATTATTTTAAAATAAGGGATATTTTTTATCAACAATTCGCAATTTTATAAGTTATATAAATAACATTTTGTACATAGTGTATAATATATATATATAATTCGGCACGAATATGAATAAATAGAAGAATATCATCTTTTGACTGACTTTCAAATTTAATTTATAAATTGCTGATTAATATTTCTATATTTTATCGCCTTAGAATTAGGTTATTCCATATTCACTTTTAGTCAAAAATGTATTTTTATAAATCAATTTTTTTTTATAATTATACTATTCTATTTATATAAAAAAATCTAAAATATTTATAAAATAATTTAAACTATAGCTTGATATCAGTTATCCATATTGAAAACGATAGAAACTTAATTTTTTAAAATTGCTTTCCTATAAAATTACAAAAAGCAGAGAGGGAATAATTTAATTATCAGACGACGATTTATAAATTTATGTGCTAATATGAAAACTAATCATTTTTCTTCCCTATCGATAAAAGTCACCGTTCTTTCAAAATATGTTTTTTTTTCTTCCCCGCATTACTAATAATTATCTTATTACCATAATTATATTGATCATATTTTTTTTATAAGACTGTGTCATTATGTTTTGAAAAAAAGTCTCAAAATTTCCGGAAACTAATAAAATTATGAAACATGTCCGAAATCTTCCACTATTTCTTTTTTACAAAAAAAGCGAGAATAAAATACGGAAAATAATTGCTTGTTTTTTTTAATAAAAATTACCCAAATAAATAAATTTTGAAAAAACTTATTACTCAAATTAGTAATTTCTGTTATTTTTTTCTTAAAAATTAAATTTATTCATATTTTTTAGATTTTGGACACAGCCTAAAGCATTACCAAAATTTATTTATTTTTATATTATGAAATTTTTATGGTTCTACTCAAAATATCCAATAATTTGATTCGCAAACTATTGAAACTTTGTCGAAAAAGAAGAAATAAAACTTAGGGTGAGTCTAAAGTCAAAAAATTTTTCAAAAAAAAAATGATTCTCTAATTTATCAATTTTGCTTCCAAACTCAATTTCGTAAATTCCAAATAATAATTTTTTTAAAAAAATTAAATTTTAACTTTGATAAAATTTCAAAAATATTATATGCGAATTTCATTAAAATCTTGAAACTTCTTCACAATTTGCGGCTCCTAAGTTATCAGTTTGATTTACTGAGAACTAGACATCTAATATCAAATTAGTTTTAGTTATACCTACAAAAATACGAATCAAATAATTGCAATATTCTTATTCGTTTAAATCGATTCGATTCGTCAAATATTCGATTCAATTCTAAAATTTTATTTAACCATAAATTAAAAAAGATAGAATATTAGATTTATATTGTAAAATTTAACTATGGATAAAAGACACAAATTTTATTAGTAAGATAATATAGAAGCATATATATATACTATTTTTACATATAATGTTGTAAAATCAATATAATATTCATATCATGTAGAAGACAAATATACCAACAACAAATTTTTTAAACAAAAAGTTTTTGCAAAAAGTAAAATTTATGATTTCTTCATCATCAAACGACGGAGAAATATCTGGTTCGCCCGTCATTCTTGACGGGATGGCTACTAGTTTATTATAATTGTATATGTGTTATAAATTGCATATAAAAATAAATACTTTCTTCGTCCATCATAAAACCATTTTTCTGAAGTTAGCCGTTAACAACAATTTTAGAAATATAAAATGTTTCTTCATTATTCCACTAGGAAATTTTATTAAATAGGAATAATTACAAATAATTCCTACTAATAATATATGATTATTTTTCAATATTATTATTTTAATCGAATAATTCGATCGAATAATAGATAAAAAATTATTCGACGAATAATATATTTTCCTTATTAATAATTGTGATATTCGTATTAGTAAAATACGAATCGAATATCGAATAACAAATAATTCGTTTTAGGTAGTTTTTGTTGACTTAATAGACGAGCAAAGTCTCATAGGCACGCGTAATATTTTTTCTAAAATATTGGGTTAGCCTCTGCTTATAAGCTTAAGATAATACGAATCGAATAATCAATTATTTTCTAAAAAATAAATAAATAATAAGATGGGTATAATATAGTTAAAAATTGCGATTTAGATAGATTTTTAAAAAAGGTCCAATTAAGATTTTAGGCAAAATAATATGTAATTTTGGATATTTTGCTCATAGGTGGCAAAAAGTATGGACCTCTATTTGCCAAATCTCGAGGTTTAGATAATATTATTTTGGCTTAAAATCTTAATTGGGTTGCTTTTAAAAAACTTTCGGGCTTTAACAATACTAGACATGTTAAATATAAAAAAAAATTGGTGTTACGAATAATGAAGAGGCTGTTATTTGACGATTAATTGTTCATCGTTATTCGCATTAAACCCTTTGAATCGAATAAATGATATTCGTAAAATGCAAATAATCGTTTTAAAAGGGCTATTCATTTTAATAATATGAAAAAGGGCCATTTATTATGAAGTGATATTTAATAAAATATCACTCATTGCACGTTATAAGAATTCCCACTTTTATTTATTTATAATTTTTAAACGTTTATTTATTGTAAAAAAGACATTAAAATAAATCAAGTTATTCGAAAAAAAAAACAATTTGCGTTAAAATCAGGGCTCAAACGCGAATATTTTTGCCAGGTTCTGTTCGAATTCCTTGTTCAAGGTGGGTTCGACAAAAAATAGGTTCGGTTTGTGTTTAGAAATGTCAATTATATTTTAATATTTCCATCAAAAATTTTAAAATACAATAAATTTTTTAAAAATCAAAATTAGATAACTATTTTTAAGGGTATAAAATATTTTATTCAAACTTTACTAAAACAAAATTTATGTCATAAATATTTAATATCTTTATTATATTATACATAATTCAATAATATACGCCAAAAAAATATTCAATTGCACATTTAAAAATTTTATTTGTAGGAAACTGAATTTACAAGTATTTTGAAAAAAATGGTTGGGTTCACGAAAACTGTCTTCTAGACCCGGTTCACAGCTTCTGGTTAAAACTCTGATTAAAATCATATAAGGATATTTTGGATCTAGAAATGGATTTCGAATTAATCAGTTACCTTGACAAATTCTTTTCAATATACAAGGTTAAAATTATCAATATACTGAGTTGAATCCCAATAATGTGATAACAAAAAATTATCAATATACTAAGTTGAATCCCAATAATGTGATACCTATTTAGGTATATCCTCATTAAATTGCTTCAGTTATTCAAGAAATAGAGGTTAAAGCTTGAAATCGGAGAATGATTACAGAGAATATAAGCGAAAACCTTACCCCAAAGTAAAGACATAAGCTTCAAAGTCAATATAAGAATTGTTGTTCAAAATATCTAATCTACCCAGTGAAACAGAATGTTTAACAAGATAAAATAAAGCTTTTTTTACAAGTCAGAAAAAACTGGGAAAGAAACAGGCTGAAAAATGTTTTTTGGATTAGAAAAAGCACAAACTCCGCCATATAATCATGTTTATTTGCAGGTAAATGAGGATAGATTCTTCTCAGTAAAGTACAATGGCTGTATTAGTTTTGGGATTTACTAATTCATATAATAATCCCAAAAAAGACGATTTAACTAAAATATTGTCATACATTATAAATGATTTTAAAAAAATTTGTTTAAAAAAGTAAGAAATGCCGTTTCAATAAATAATTTTATGATTAGAAACATAATTAAACAGCAATTTATCTAAATCATATAAAAAAACAAATTTTGATATAATAAATGCCAATCATTTTAGTATTTCTTGTTCTTCCTCTTCTTCTTCAGCCTCTTCAAGCCATTTCACAAAAGTCTCCATCTATATGTAAATAATAGTTTTTATTTAGTATACGATATAAATAACGGGAGTGATACATTTATTGAAACTGGTAATTCTATACAGGTCATATGAATTTATATGCTAGACGTCATAAAAAAAATAGATAACCTGAACAATACAGATATGAGCCTCAAAGAAGACTCATTCAACATGAATAACTATTTCTTATTTTTACATTGTCCAAATTTTAAATATTTTATATACTAACTAATCGTCTCCAAAAAATTGTTAGCAACTAAAGCCATTAGTAAGGAATTTTTCTTATAACTTTATCATAACACTACCCCCCCCCCCTTTCTTCCTCAAGCTGTAGATATTAAAATATTTTTAGAATTTTTTCAGAACATAATTATATACCATTCGATATTAACTTAACTGATTTACGAAAATAGACATTTAAAAAGCGTTGCTCAAAACAAATGTTATACTTAATAAAATCGCCCCACCCCTATCATATGGTAACCCCAAAAAGAGATGGAAAGGTAAACAGTATGTGAAACATAAAGCGAAACAATCGGGATAAATCGCGTAGATAGATTTAAAAAAAAATAATTAATAACTTGTTTAAATATCTTAGGAGAAGTAATTTGAGCGCGCTTGGCAGTAAACCAATCTACAATTACTTCTTCGGGTATAATATCTATTTCATAGGCATAGTGAGTAAGCTTGACGGCAAATGTGGAAAAATCTTTTTGTTGATGATTATCTGATTTTGTGCTGTTAGGACCAATTGATAAAGGGTCAGTATTCGAAGAATGAAGCAGAATACGATCCAAAAGAACATATTGAGATTCGGGAGTTTTAAAGTAGTTTGCCAGCAAGTCTTTGTAACGAACAAGTCTCTGTAAAAAATTTTTATGAAAAAAAGAAAATAAACGAATATTAAGACAAGTATGGGATTATATACTTTTAATATTTTCTCCTAAATCCAAATAGTTTGTTTAGTTTACCATAATTATTTGAAGAAAACTCATAAATAATGATAGTATATTGTATTGTTTAAAAGAGGTAGAGTTACTTCACCTAGTCCCTTCAAAAGTTTTTAATATTTTATAAATATTATAAGAATGATGCCACATACGTTTTGATAATACCGGATCAGAGCATCATCGTCCCCCTTTGAGCCCTCCTTGATAAAATTTAGGGCGGCATCCTTGAAGATAATTTTACTGACGCAAACCCAGAGATCATGTAAAGTGACATTATAGGCGTGCTTGGATGCGTTTATCTCAAGCACGACATTTTTTAAGGGGATATTTTCCTCTTCACACCGTTGAAAGGACTCTGCCGTCTCGAAATAGAAACCTCTCGTGTCCTCGGTGGACATGATATAGTGCTCGTCGGCCGAAATAGTTCTGTTCCTTTTATTTTCGGCATCGTTGACTAAATTTTTATTTGAAGATGAGTTGTTTTTCGAGTCGCTATTTAGAATAGTTGTAATATCCATATCAGCAAAATGAGACTTGATGGGGCTCGTAGGACGACTAGAAGTGTGAGATAAGGAGGAAATGTTTTGGTTGGAAGATGTTAAGGATGAGATAGAAGAATGAATAGAGGAAGCTCGTGAACCGGTTTCGTCTTCGCTTGAATTTTGTGCTGCGTGATAGGAAAAATGATGAGTTAGTTATAAAGTTTTTATAATTTACAATCATTTTCGAAGGCATCGGCCATCAATTTGCGACGGGGACTATTGGCCCTGGCGTGACTCGGAAACAATCTGTTATCACGAGAGAAAAAAGGAGGCAAGACCAGGTTTCTGGGACCGAACCATTTGTAAAATTTGTTCTTCAGCACGTAGCAAGGAATGATTTTATCCGTTAATTTGATCCCATTCTCGGTTGAAGATAAGGTTTCTTCTTTGATGATATCGTAAGGTATGAGGTCCTGTTTCAATATATCGCCAGGAACTATTCGGTACAAATAAGTGTCCTTGTGACCATTCGGTGAACCTGGAATGTTATAAGGAAAAATCGTTCATTTTCAATTTTAAAACAACTCGAGGTCAAAATAATATGCAACGTAAATTATATGTGTGAAAATAGATCTAATTAAAAATGAATAAGTAGTAAGTAACCAGAACTAGTAGTGTAAAATTGCCGCATTTGAGCCGATTTTTAAAAATGGTCAACTCAATATTTTAGCCAGAAAAATAGTGCTTAAGCCTCAAGATTACGCGAATAGATGTCCAAAACTCCATGACATTCTGCGAGCAAAATCTAAAGGCTTGCATAATATATTTATAGGTAATATCTTGAGTTATACATTTTTAAAATTTGGCTCAAAAACAGCACTAACCCCTCATGCCCAGTTAACGCTTGTTCAAATTATTAATAGCAAAAAATGATACATATCTTACAAGAAACCTCGCAATGTTACGTATTTTACGTTGTCGCTTCCTTTCGCAATACCGACGCGAAATTTTTTGGTTTTAAAGTGAGACAAAAAAGTGGAAGCCTTTTGCGCGTCATCTAAACATACTGTACCAACAGGAAGCTTTAGTGACGCTGGCAGAAATACCTAGATAATAATTAAAAAAAACATTTATAATTTATTTTAGAATTATTTTGAGGCTCAATTTTTTATTATTATTTTTGACAATGCTTTTAAATAATCATAAATAATGAAAGTTCCAAGCATTGAATCTCTAGAGATGAAAAAGAACAAGACTTCGAGGTAAGTTATGATAAAATAATGATGCCCAGTATCGAGGAAAATCAATTGACATTTAGCCCGAATAATTAAATTAATGTACTTGGAGTAATTATGTAATAAATAAATTATCAAATTTTGCATTATCTTTAAAATGAAGAGATAAAATGGGAAAACGCAGATTATACTCTAAATATATTATAGATAATGATTATTACGTTGGGTCCTATCAGACAATGTTTGTTCAAATGCACTTTTTTGTGTAATGTCACGTTATTTCCTATTAAGCACGTGTCAATAATGCAGTCATCATATATTTTGACTCCATCCCATAAAATACTGTTTTTGATTACGCAATTTTTGCCTTTATTTTGCAATTTATTTTAAATATAGATATTTTTTTTAGTATAAATAAAATTGATTATTCATATATCTTTCAAACAACGGCGAGGGATAAATATCCCGATACCTCCAAGTATATTTACAGCCTAGTAAAAATGATTTTACCAATTAAAAGTTTTGGAATAATATAAATTATATCATTATAAAAGAGAGTTTGGTTAGGGAATTATGCAATTTTTGATGTTGAGTGATGACAATCTTAGCCAGAGATGGGGTATGTCAGAAATCTGCTGAGGCGAAATCATACTTTTTTAAAAGCTTAAATAATGCGGACTTATGAATTTTTCTTCATAAAAAAAATTACAAGCCGGCTAGCTAAATTTCATGTCGAAACAACCTGTGCCAAATTTTTCGGCCATTTAAATATTAAATCGAATGACCTTACTTAAACCAGCTCTCAGTGTTGGGCAGTACGGCGAATACTTGTAGATACAATGTACAAAATCCTGTTGTATCTTATACTCAGTATCTTTTTGACATTTTTAATAAGATGCTAGTATCTGTATTTAAGATCCTTATTCTGAAAAGTATCTCGTATCTTTTTTATTTTCTTGACAAAGGATACAGATTCTTTTTAATATTCATGTTTAAAATTTTCTTGAATTAATTTCCTTTATTTTTTCGGTCAAATTTTAAATATAGCTGGGAAATTTACAACTCATTATAAGATAGTTAAAAAATAACAAAACCAAAACTAATTTGAAATTATATTTTTGTATCTCGATAGAATATCATTACCAATTTTATGTAATATTTTTTAATTTGCAGAATGATTAACACTCATAGTAGTGAATAAGAAGGTAGTGAAATTTAAATTATGGAAATAAGTTTCCCTGAATAAAATCCCAATCTTAAAATTTTAGATGGAAATTTTTTTAAAATAAAAGTTAAAAAAACAATGTAGATGCTGAAGGTAAAACCTATATAAACAAAAAAATGATAAAGGGTTCAACACAAATTTTGTTAAACATATTAAAGTTATTATTTATATGTGGTTAAAAGGGACATAGGTTATCTTAAAATTACTTATGGAAAAATACTTTCAAAATATATTATTAAAAGAAGCCCTAAATGTAATACCAGAGTATATAATCAAGTTCAAACTATAACACCAATAGATTTAACATCTAATAAAAAATGATGATTATTTTTCTTTTGGTGAAACAAATGTTGCTGAGTTCAATACAAATAACATTGAACTGGAGGTTTTAAATTATATTACATAAAGTAAAAATACATTATAAAAGCTTAATTATTTATCTTCTATTAAGGAAATTTTTTTAAAATATAATACTGCAATACCTTCATCAACTTCAATTGAAAGGTTAGTTGGCAAAATGTAAGCCGAAACGGTAAAGGTCTAATGATAAATTATTATAAAAATATGATAATCTTATAAAATAATAATCTATTTTAATATTCTTTAGCAAATTAATATTTCAACTCTTATTAAAAATACTAATCTATTTTTCCTATTCATGCTAAGAATAAGCTAACACTAGTATTAAATGCCTGATTATTATAATTAACACATCATTAAATATTTTATTAAATATTTTAAATATTCATTATAATTACATGCATATGTTATGTTCTTCACAAATAAATAATAAAAACTATATTCTATAAATTATTCTTATTTAATTGGTAATGATAATTTTAAAGTATATTGTATTTAAGATACTCTAATTTAGCGAAAGATACGAGTATTTATTATCTTGCGATATTTTGAAAAAGATACCAGTATTTGTGTTTAAAATTGAATCGGTTTCTTTTTCCGGAGGTCCTGCCCAATCCTGCCAGCTCTTATATCTTTGTTATAGCTATATATAGGACAATAATTGGCTGAGTTTAGTGCCTTACCATTTATGTATGTTTGTGCCAAAAAATAAATAGGTTTTTCCTTTTAGAAATAGTTGCCCAAATAGAATTAGATTTTTAGACTAAAAAAGATATAATACCGCTTATTTTTGGAAGTAGCATCACCTTTTGCCAAAATCTTTAATATTATATTAAATAAAACCAAAAAGAGTGCCCTATTTGATTTTCTGAATAGAATCAAAGAACAAAAATTAAGTATGAGCTAGGATACAGATAAAATATTTTTAAAAAAATAAGATACCACACCTATACTACAATTGCTCCCTATCACGCTTCTAAAGACTAAAGATGATTCCCCGATTTCGCAATTATTCGATATCAACACATTCTGTTCCAGTTCGGCATTTCTATAATTTTTAAAAGACGACAAATACATTTTATTGTAAAAATATATTATAATCAAATCTTTAAAATTATCAATCACAATTATATCTCGTCCCCTAAATTGAAATTTACCAGCCCCAACCCAAGGTTTTTTACCTTAAATTTTGTTATAAATATATTATACATAATTCAAAGATCCACGATGGAGGTAAAATAATATGATTTTAAAAAATGTGTGGGCCTAATAATAATAAAAATTATGAACCGAATCGATTGAAAAATTAAATTACGGATTATCTAACAGACAAAATTATTTTGAAAGACTGATTCTAAAAACCCAGGTTTTATTCCAAATTTTTTTTCTCTCATAAATTATGAGTCGTGTTTTATGCTGGCACATGTCTGTATACACCAATGATGCATATATATTGCTAAACTGGCGATTCATTAATTAAAAAGAGCCATTTTGCGGTATGACGTCGACCGACTAATTGTCTTATTTATCATTAAATGAATGCACATTAATGTCATTAAATACAACTTCAAATCAAAGAATGGTACTAAAGTTGACAATATACTGTAAATTCTTAAAAAAGTAAACATCATTTACTGATCCTCAAGCCGCTTTTTATTAAAAGATCATATTATTCTCAATATAAATGACTTAATCAAATATCCCCCCCCCCCCCCCCCCATTTAAAATAAATAAAACTGTGAAATGTGGAAAGTTGATATATCCAAGGGCAAAAAAATATTTTTGTTATCATGTTGATTATATATCCTGGTATCGTTAGGAGGTATGGTTGGATGTCTCCATGTTTCTGGACTTATTGGGTAGAGCCATTCGTTAAGAATATCGAAGCTTAATTTGATCAAAATTTTTTTTAATTAAACTAGATTGATGAAAAACAAATTGCAATATATTTTAAAAGTCAGCTTTTTTTTGCGTATTGCATTTTGAAGATTTATTATATTAATTGTAAAAAAATTTTTTCACGATGGTCAAAAGTATAGAGGTGGCCAATAGCCAATGTTTTGATAAAAATATTCGATAGTAGTTTGGTAGAGTCTGGAGAAAGTAGAAGTTCCTAAGAAGAGGCGTCTGGGTAGAAGGTGAGGTATTTATGAGACGTGTATATTGCGATAAAAGACGGGATAGGGGTGACATTCTCTATCAGGGAAATATAATAAGTTCGAGGTTCTCATTGCATATATTTTCAAAATAATTTTCATGATAATTCTTATAATAAATTTTCCAAAATACTTAGTTATATGTTGAATTTTTTGAATTTTATTGGTATATATATATTTAGTAGAAAGTACAGTTTTAAGGAGCTTAATATTATCGTTAAAGGTCCCAGAAGAGTAAAATTTTAAAAACTCAGACATGGGAGTTTATTTTTACAGATTCTTAATACCCTAACAAATTATAATAAAGGTATCTCAATATTTTTTTTAATTTTTAGAAAATTAATTCAGTTAATTAAATAAGTAATCCATTAACGTTAAATTAATTCTCATATAATCAATAAAAAAATATTTAATTAGGATAAAATGGTATAACATTAATGTGAAATGGCTAAATTTAGTTGATTTTAAATTACGATTTTAGCTAAAATAATATTTTGTAGGCCTCGAGATTTTGTTTATAGATGTCCAAGCCGTTCTCCCATTTATGAAAAACATCTCAAGGATTGCGTAATATTTTTTGGCCAAAATATTGGGACAGCCATTTTTAACAATCTAACTGTTTAATACAATATATATCAGAGACCTGTAGAGGTACCATTTGCATGGCTTTGACGGTTTTTTTTTTAAAAAAAATATTTCTGCTCGGTTTTTATAGTTTCAGGCCCAGTCCTAATAAAATATTTAACGTAACCCCAGTAATTTAAAAAAATATTTTAGACCTGGCTCAGGTATTAGGAGGTATATTAAGCCTTTGTATCAGGGTTAGGCATATATATTATATCATAAATTATTCATTAAAAATAATGGTAGCATGCCTGATCCGATAATACATTGCCAAATCAGAGAGGGTAAATACATAAAATTTATCTTCAATATAAACATGGAGTTGACTACCCAAGATCTGTAGATGTTTAGTGTTTAAATAAATATATTTTGCAATAAATAATTTATCATATTTTGATTGTATACATGATTTTTAATATTAAAAATACTGCAATATTATTTATAAATCTTTAAATTTATAAAAATTTTAATGGTTAATCAATACATTTATTTAAAATATACTTCTTCATTAATCAGTATATCATTGATAAAATGTGCTAGGCTTTGATAATCAAAATTGTCTGCAAAGAATTGTGGTACTTGTGGACTACAAATACAAATATTCATGTTGAACAAATCATAAGAAACTTTGACATTATTACATTTCTCAAGAATTTCCTATTTAAAAGAAATAGAGTAGTTATAATTTTTTTTATGTTCCACATAATACAAATAAATTTTATAAATTACTAGAGGAATTGCAATATTACAATCATTTTTATTTCTCAAAACTGTGCCAGTAGAATGATGCAATAGTTGATATGAAATTGCATCATAAATTACCAAACATCGATTTGGAGGATCATAAGGAATTTTACCACTTGTCTTTCTGTAAAGAAGAGTCATCAAGGAATCAATCTTATCTTTTACTCTTCTTTTTCTATTTCATTAATTATAAATTAATTTTAAGATTTTTTTTACTTATGTAATTCTAATATTGGCTTTATATTTAAATTCGAAGCTAATAATCCATTGATAAGTACAAAATCAGATTTTAATATATTCCCCTTGTTGTATATTTCTCTAAATGCATCTCCAAGTGTTTGACAGCTTTCAGAGGTGTACAAAGTAATTGTTAATTTTTTTAACTTTGAAAGCCATTTATTGTTACTAAACTGTTAATAGAACGTATATTATCCAATATAATTATACTTAAGATAAAGTTTTAATTTTTCACTATATATAGAGGAAATCAAATATATTTCTTCTATTCCAGATGATATCAAAATTTCAATTGTATAATCTATACAAGGAATGTTTACTAAAGGAAGTAAAGCCTACACATATCTTAAGAAATATAAAATTTAAATTTTTATACCATATGTTCATAAATCGTAAGGGGGCTAAAATTATTAGTAAAAGCATCAATATAAACTAGAGCTTGTCTAACGTCTTGCCTTTGAATATTGCTCATATTATCAAAATTTTTAAAGAAATAATAAATGCATGTATGCCTAAAAAATACTCACAGCTGATACTCTCAATTGAGAGTGAATTTTTTACAACAGGAGCCCGAATTAAAAAACTCGACAAGAACCCGAGTAGATTTTTTAAAATTTGATTGTGAATATTATAATATCCAAAAAACAATTAAAAATATGTGTATTATCTTGATTACCTTAAATAAAATTTATTTGACCGCCATAATATAATCAATATTTATATTAACTTGATTTATTTAAACCTTTTATTTAGTTTAAATATTGAAAAACTGGAACACAATCAAATATAATTGGGTATATATAAAAATAATGTGTATATTATAATGAATATATTATCAAGATATATCAATATATTTATCGATAGTATCACATGGTGAATAATTGAGATATATAAATAATGAGGAGTCGAGTTTGTCAGACTTTAAATAAGTTTTCCTCTCTTCAAATGTTATACCAGCCGCTGAAAGCGTTCTTTCACTTTAACTGAGAAAGTAGGGATACCCAGTAATTGAAGAAAACACTTACCCCTCAATTTAGATTTGTTAAACCATATTAAATTATAAAAATTTGAGACTATTTAATTAATTAGATATTAGGCAATTTTATTTTATTAATATGATGTAAAAAGGGTATCGTCCCTCTAATTCGTATGAAAATTTAGGAAATAGGTTTTTTGTCGTATTGCAAATAGTTCGTTCCCAAAAAAAAGCCAATTTGCAATAGTTCGTTCCCAAAGTAGTTTGTTCCCAAAATAATTATGAAAATCCAAGAGATTAAAGCTAAATCGATCAATAAGAAAATTGTAAAGTATATATTATTTAATTTGCATATAATAATTAATTTTTTTAGAAAACTAGGCAAAACAAAGAGTGCATATAAACAAAGCTATTATTCAAATTCTAATAATCAAATGGTTCAATATAGTTTGATTAAATCAAAATACAACAATAATATTATCTATTCTAACAAAATTTTAATTCAATTTATACATTATCATGCAAAAAAAAGAGATTGCATTTTTATATATTAATTAAAATTTTTATTATGAGATATTTCATATAAATTTTAATAATGTTATATCAAAGATATATTTATAATAAAGAGTTTGCTAAAATATTGTAAATTATCTGCTATTTATATCATTTTTAAACAAAGCTATTATTCAAATTCTAATAATCAAATGGTTCAATATAGTTTGATCAAATCAAAATACAACAATAATATTATCTATTCTAACAAAAATTTAATTCAATTTATACATTATCATGCAAAAAAAAGAAATTGCATTTTTATATATTAACTAAAAATTTTATTATGAGATATTTCATATAAATTTTAATAATGTTATATCAAAGATATATTTATAATAAAGAGTTTGCTAAAATATTGTAAATTATCTGCTATTTATATCATTTTTAAACAAAGCTATTATACAAATTCTAATAATCAAATGGTTCAATATAGTTTGATCAAATCAAAATACAACAATAATATTATCTATTCTAACAAAAATTTAATTCAATTTATACATTATCATGCAAAAAAAAAGACTTTGCATTTTTATATATTAATTAAAAATTTTATTATGAGATATTTCATATAAATTTTAATGATGTTATATCAAAGATATATTTATAATACAATTGTGCTGTCTATTATATATTAATGGATCTAGAGCATTAAGAGTTTGCTAAAATATTGTAAATTATCTGCTATTTATTTTTTAATATATACTGTTCTTGTATTAATATAAATATTAATTACCATTTAGCCATAACGTTTCAAAATTATACAATTTTATATCGCTTCAAATATATTTGTGGCCATTTTAGGTCATTTGACGTTTTTTCACAAATGTTCATACGATCTAGTGGACCCTAACCGTAAAAAGTATGTAAAAATAACACAAAAATATAAAAACAAAATAGTTTGAAAAACAGATGACGTAAAATAATAACTGAAAATGATTTGCTATATTGATTGAAATTTTAATGATGAAATATGTTAGGTAAAAAAAAGACATGTTATTCTAATTGGCATTATATAAAATGATTATTTAGAACGTTTATATTTATTTATCTGGTCGGGTCGGACACATCGATATTTTGTGAATATAAAGGATTTATTTTTTAGATAATAATTTCAATTAATACCTCCATTATTGACAATGAATTCATTATTATAGCATGATGAGCTTGCTGAAATATCTAAACCTTTTATATTACATTTAAAAGTATAGCATAAAGTTATTTGGAAAATAATGTGCTGATTGTTTGCAATATATAGATTTGGTCTATGAATTGTATTATAATAGTTCTATAATAAAAGTATTAATTTTTACAGCAATAAATTTCCGATTTAATTTCAAAATTTAATAAATAACCCTCAAAAATTTTTATCCTACCCCCATAGAAGCCACTTAACCCCTAACCCCACTATAAAAATTAGGATGCAAACTGTTCCTAACCCCTCCCCATCCCGCTCATGTAGACGCTGACTTTCGTACCTGAAGAGAAAATTTTAAAAAAATAAAACATTTTATAAACAAAAAACCTAATGGAGGATGCTAGAGTTAGAAAAATATTTCCCAACAAGAGTCATATGCTTTCTTTGCTACCCAATGTGTTTTGGTGCCTATTTTATTGATTACTTTTGGTTGTTCGCTTAGATATTATTTTGCTCAAACTGTCCTTGGAGAATAATTTTTATTAAATTCAAATAAAAAAATAATAACACGATTCATCCTGAGTCTTACAATCTAAAGTTAAACAAATGCGCCGATGTTATCAAACAAGACCAGATTATTGCGCCTAATAAAAATATAATGAATTAAACAAAAAAATATATATACCAAAATAATAAAAAAACACCATTCATGACAATTACCACCTTACAAACGTTTAAAACTTATGATAATAAAAAAAATTAATTTTTTTATAAAAATTTTATAGACCTTTCTATTTTATAAATTAGATATATTTTAAAGCTCAACTTCATTTGGGATGCGAGATTGAGAAAAAAATAATAATAACCTGGCAGGGATCCAAACCGAACCTGAACTGAACGTTAAACCAACCGTTATTTTTTATCGAACCTAAACCGCTAAAAAAATTCCAGCCGAACCTGAACCGAACCGCTAAAATGCCTCTGAACCGGTTCGAGTCTCATGATTTTATTATAAAATAATATGTAAGTTATTATTAGATTTCAATTATATTCGAATTATTTTAAAGATTATCATCGATCACATTTGATTGATAAGTGTCGGTCATAATTTTTATAAACTTTAATATAATGTCATTTTACAACATTTTTTAAATATTTTAAGCTTATAAATTATAATGGAGAAAAATTAAATCCAAAATATTACTATAAATGACATATCAAATCTGATATCATATTGGCAGTGCCGGCTACCCAAGTTAGTGTGAAAGATGTTTCAACAATTAAATTGCTATCTCATTATAGATGTAATTTGAGTGAGCTGAATTTTGAAAATATATTAATTGGCTTAATAAAAAAAATTTAAGTAAAAAAAGGAAAATATTGCTCATATTAAAATTAATCATTGATATATATTTTTATATTTATAAATTAAATATTATTTTATAATGTGCAATTAATAAAAATGAAGGTTTTATATATGTTATTTAAATTAATGATAAAATAAAAAAAATAATTTCCCTATACATAATTCGAATGTAGGTTTGAATACAAAAGCGTTCAAACAGGTTTTTAGAGGTTCGAACCGAACCGATATTTTAATTTTTTACGAACTGAACCTGAACCTCGAACCGTTATTTTTATTCGAACCGAATCGATATTCGTTTCGGTTTGGATCCCTGAACCTGGTTATATTAAATTTGAAAAATATTCTAGATTTTTAAAAAAAAAGTTACATTAGATATGATCCCTAATGTAATGCCCTAATATTAAAGTTGCCGCATTTTCTTTTAAATTGTAAGAGTTCAAATGTGCATTTTTGCTTCAAAGTCAATATATTGATTGATACGAATTCTGAAAGCCTTGCATAAACATAGTATAGTATAGCATAATACTATTTATCACTCAGGGGTTGGCTACTATCAATTTGTAATATATGCAGCGTCTACATGAGCGGGAGGGGTAGGAACAGTTTGCATCCTATTTTTTTGAGGGGGTAGGGGGTTAGCTGCTTTAATGGGGGTAGGATAAATTTTTTGGGGGGTTATCTATTAAATTTTGAGATTAAATAGGACAAAATTTATTGCTGTAAAAATTATACTTTTATTATAGTATTATTATAATATAATTCATCGACCAAATCTATATATTGCAAACAATCATACACATTGTTTTCCAAATAAACTATCCTTTTAAATGTAATTTAAAAGGTTTAGATATTTTAGCAAGCTTATATTGCCATAATAATTAATTCATTGTAAATAATGGAGGTTTTAATTGAATTTATTATCTAAAAAAAAATTCTTTATATTCACAATAGATAGTTGTTAGTAGAGATAGATTAATTTAAGTTATCCTTTATAAATTCTTTGAAAAGAGTATCAATAAATAAATAGGTAAAAACAATTAGAAAAAGACACCGCCGCCGAAGGCGGCGAATTTTTAGGGGGTTAGTCTAAGGTTTTTGAAGGGGGTTTACATCCAGTGAAAATCCTGTCATATTGACGCTGAATATATGTCTCTCTGTCATAGCTACCAAATATTTCACAATAATACGATGCCCAGGCTAAATACAGACGAGCCCGAAAATTATTAAAGGGGCTATACCGCAATTTTTTTTAAAACTAGGAACTGGTGAGAAAAAATTAAAAAGGGCCTGCGAGATTATATAAAAGTATTGTGTTCAAAAAATAGGGTTTATTTACTTGTTTTAAATTTATTTTACAAATATTTTTACTATATTTTTATGCTTTTTTTATGAACAAATTAGATGTAGGAGCAGCAGTGACTGGAAGCCCGGTCTGAACCGGGAATGACGATTTTATTACGGCCTGATTCTGTAGGAGATATATTTTACGGGCTGGGTCGGGTAAAAATGATTACGAATCGAAAAGTAGATATAAAATTTTTATCGGCCGGTTTGGATCGACCTATAGTATAAATATTAAAATTTTCGGTTTAAAAATGAATTAACTTATGAACTTATAACATCGATTTGATTTGAAAAATAAATTATTAGTTTAAACAGATTCATTTATGAGATCCACTATAGGCGCCGACTCAAGAAACAGGGCCATCTGTTTAAACCACCTTTAACAAAAATTTATAATAATCGATATGTAATACAAATTATTATAATTACAAATATTTTATTTTATTTTTTTTTTAAAAAAATCACATTTAAAAAAAAATATATATCAAATGTTTTACAATATTGTAACTATATAGCGTTATAAAATATATATTAATTTGATAATTCAATATATTATGATGATAGGAAAAATATAAAGAAAGAAGATTAAATATAAAAGTAAAACAAAACATCAATCTAATTATCAATGTTTATGTTATGAATATATGAACGCTGCTTTAAGAAACGCAACAATTTTTCCTTCTTGACTTTTTCCAATCCAACCAAAAAGAGTGGTTTTGGGGGGAATTCGTGATATTCTTTGTCGAACTTTTGTTTTATTTAATTTTATTATTTTTCTAAATTTTTTTTTGTTAGAGTAAATTTGGAATATTTTAATAATTATTATTTATTTATATTATTCTTAACGAAGATGTATAAATATTTTCATTATTTATAAATCAGTAATTTAATAAAATAGATAAGGTAGTAAATTTTTCTTATATATATTTTAAAAACGAAATATTTATAATGTTAGTGTCAATATGTTTTTCTTTAGGCTGGCTGCAGTGAGATCTAATCCGTTACAATTTAACATTGATTTAAAAAGTTTCTTCGTTAAATCGTGATGGATCGGTTTACAGGAAATGTATTCCAACATGTGCAGAATATTTTATTCTAATGACATTAATAGTAAAATAGACTGGTGATTTACTCATTTAAAATGCCTTAAAAATGGTACATATACATTTTTAAGTCCGCCATCACACATTTAGACAAAGCGTTAAAGACATTTAGACAAAACATCTTCATTGCGTTTCCTGTCGACGATGGCATAGACTACTACAGGTGACTTCAATGGACGTACATGTTCTAATAAATGAATCGTTAATCAAGTATTAAAAACTGTCATACTCTCTCCAATTAAGCTTATTTTAATTTACATTATTTTGTTTCCAAAGATCTATTTTTTTTATAATATAAATGACTTAAAATTTGATTGGCACTTGTGCGAAATACTAAAAGAAAGTAGTGTTGTTAAACGGCTAACTAAATATTTTATTCAGATAAATATTAAGCAAGCCAGAAGATTTAGGTCATGGGCACAAATTTTTGGACAACTATTAGAAAAATTTCGAGGTTGAGTTAGTCATTTTTAAAATATTTTTAACACACACTGAAATATATTTCCTGGTAAAATGAGATTTTTAATTTTTTTAAAAAACATAAGACACTGATAGAAAAAAAAACGCATTGACAATAATATATTAAATAGTTTATTAAATTAGGAGAGAAAAAAATATTATTATGCTTATTTTATTTTATTTTTAATCAAACCACTAAGTTTTTTCTCTTTTTTTACTTCATTTAGATTAAATTTCCAAAATTATTTTATAAAAGGAAAACTTTAAAAAAATATTTAGATAAACATTCAAAGGATGTTATGAGAAATGAGAAATAAGTATAAGAAAATAAGATTAACAAGTAGAAAAAAAAATCAAATTTCTTTTATTCTCTGGTAAAATTTAACAAAAAATAATTTTTTTCCATTATTATTTTATAAAAAAAAACTTAGCATTTTGATTCTCATGTTTAGAATTTTAATAAATAAGATCCTTAATTAATTTTGGGTGGAAAAACATTTATTATTTTTTTAATACTTTCATGATATTTTTTTTCAACGTAAAATACCTAGAGGGTTTAAGGTTCAATTTTGAGCAAATCTGTAAAAAAATATTAATTAATTAATAATATATAAATTTAATGCATAAAACACGATATTTGGATTTGAATATTAGTTCCAAACTGACCGAATAAAGTTTAGTTTATTTATTATTATTATAACTAGTGAAGATCAAATCCGAATATTTGGTCAGATGAAAGGCCTCACCCCAATCTTCTCGTTATTAAGTCCGGGTTCGATATAGGTAGTGTTGTTAAGCTGCCCGATTAAGATTTTAGCCAAAATAATAATATGTAAACCTATCTGGCCATCTACTAGAAAAATCTTCAGGATTACAATTATATAATTATTAACTAAAATCTTATTTTTTAAAAATCGACTTAAATCGGGCCGTTTTACAACACTAGATATAGGACCGGATAGTCTTTACCAAGTTTTAATTTATAAACCATGTGGGTTCTAGAAAAGTTCGAGTAAACATTAAAAATAAACAATAAATAAATCCTCAAAAAATGAATCATAACGACAATTTAAAACGATTATATAAATAATTTGAAACCAAAACTAGTTTCATAATAAGTTACTCGAAATTTTTTAAAAATTCGTCCCAGTGTCGAAAGTTCTACGTTTTGGTCTCAAATTATAAATAAGTATTATTTTTTTTTCAAAAAAAGGGAACTAACTTCGCGTTCTGGTGCTGTTAAAATATGGGTTTCTTCGTTTTCCAATTTATTATTAAAACTATCAGAAGACGAAGGATAATCAAAATTATTGGACAGGTGACAGTCATTAAAAATGTTGTTGGATTGGCAACTACTACTCCCCAAAAAAGCGGGATTCTCTTCTCTGTTTTTGGAGAGGATAAATAGATTAATTTTGGAAATATCTTTTTTAAAAGTATTATCCAATTTAAACTTATATAACCTTAAGGCTGTGAGTCCTATATTGTCTTAATATTTGTTCTAAATTATAAACAGAACATTCTATTTAGAAAAGTAGCTAACTAAAAAAATTATTATTTAAAAATTTTGACATAAGAAGATTGATATCTTTATAATGAATATGTCTACTTATTATAACTTTTCTTTAGTTTAAGAATAGATCCATTTACAATTCTAAAAAGAAAGATTGCAGCCTAATAATTATAAATAAAAAAAATTTTTCGACATTCAATGTCACCCAAAATTAATTTTAATAATTCATAACATGGGGGAGAGGGAGGGCTGCCATTTTATACTGTTTAAAAAACGTTTAGCTCATGTTAGAAATATTTATCTTGAACAATATTGATTATTATAGATTTCTGAATTCGCAAAAATTTATAAAAAATCTTCAAAAAAAAAAAAATAAAGAAATAACTTGATGGTATTTTTGCAGGATGAGTCATCATCGGGGTTCGAAAAAACTTCCGACTATAATTTAAATAGGGAAACCAAATCATTAGTATTTTGATATAGATTCTAGAATTTACTTTAATACTGATTTTGGAGTTACTTTCGCCTAGCATTTTGGCTATGCCCACAAATTTCTCTCTCATCGGTTTCAGATATTCTGACATATATTTGTCCGCATCTTAACAAGATACAAAAATTAAAGTAAAATAATACAATATTTACAATAATATTTTTTAAAAGAAAGCACTTTCCTTCATCTTGGATTTGCATCTTGAATAATTCGACGAAAGCCATATGCTGCATTTATGGTCAGCACGATTCGCGAAATTAATCGCTAACGATATCACAGCTGATCCATTACAGCGATAATACTTTTTGAAATATACGTAAACAGCTGTAGCAATTTCCTAATCATTTTCACTCAGTATTTATAAATTATACCTATTAACTGCTTGATTATGCTAATTATGTAGCAAAAAATTTCGCATCGCTTGAGTGAATCGCGCTTACTATAAATGCAGCCATATCCGAAGCAATCGCGTGTTGGAGAAATTGAGAGTTTATAGTCAGTATAAAAAATAATATAATAGTTATAGATTATACGGATACGTTTTTAAATATATTTTATAAACTTATTATTTTAAAATACGGGAATTAGTAGGAATTAACACAGGCTAGTTAAGCAGACTATAAAAAATAAAAGCGATATTTTGGAACGTTCGAATTTTGGCTTCCTTATCTTTTTAACATTATGCTCTCTAACGTTCTGGTATGGTCTTAGTCTTACCCTGCATTCACAGTTAGCATGAATTCGCGCACAAGTTAACAAAAATGAACGTTAAAATTTTATCGCACTTTACCTCGTTTTAAAGTAAGGTGTTAGAAGTAGGGTTGGCCAATAAAAAATTAATATTTTTAATAAAATTTTATTTACTAAATTTCAACTTAATATAAGTAAAGAAAAAGACATAATTATTTTAAAATTAAATAAACTTCATAAAATACTAAATTGTACTAGTAATCATTACTTATTAGATAAAAAAATTACTTGATTTTGTTTGTCATTGTTTAAATTTTTGACATAATTAATTGAGAATCATATAATTCTCAATGTAGTAAGAAATATTTAATATTCTAAAAAAATTAGTTTTTTAAATTCAGGGTTGTGAACCCTCTTTCTAAAAAAGAGGGCTTGGGTTCAGGGCTTCAGTCTAGAAAAATAGACTTATAAATTTAGTAAAAATAAAAAAGAAAACTCAGGTTTTAAAATATTTTATTATAATTAGCATTTACGATAAAAATAATACTAAGCAAAGATTTTTGGATAATTTTAAAGAAAAGAAAAACTTTTAGATCTAGCAGATGCTTATTAAATCCGCACAATAGTAGAATGTAGAACACGTGAAAGTAAAATAAAGCATTTGTGCTTTCATCTTTTATTGACTTAATTGGAAAGAGCAGCTAAATAGGTATTGATAATGTTGATTAATCCAATGCCCGACGAAGATACATTAGCAAATAAATCGTCATGACACATTCATTTTTGATAATTTTTCTCTTAAAAAAAGTTTAGAAAATCAAATATCACATTGTCCTCAAGTGAGATAACAATTATTTAGTAAGGCAAAACTTATAAAATAAATAATGCATATATTTTTCATATTTTCACATGTCTTTTTTTTTGAAATGGTAATTTTCTGGATAAAGCAGCATAAAATATAGCGAAAGCTACTTTCTAAAAAAGGTAGTTAATAGGTCTTTACTTTTTTTTTGAAAAAAGATCAGTAGCGATAGCACGCTATATTTAAAAATAGCGTTTAACAAGACTAGTTAATATCACGAACATGAAATGAAAAGTTTCGGACACAGAAGGAAAATTGTGGAACGTGAAAGAAACAAAAACGGTGATTACAAAGAACGTTTCGAAAAATAATATTATAATTTAATTTTATTATTGTCCTATCTGGGGATGTTGACGCGATGCATATATTGTTTATTTATAAGTAGTATAGTTATCTCTGTAATATATTAGTGTCTCGCCGTCGTTTATTTATATAGGAATAATTATTATTTTTTTATAATATTATTTTGCAATGTTATTTTTTTAAGAAAAAATAATGTATATTTTTTTTTAATATAATCTAAATAGTGTAGAAAAAAATAAATAGATGATTATCTTTGATTCATTTTTTTTTTGAAAAAAGAGAAATAAATATTATTGAATATTATTGAGGTTTATTTTTTTGTTTAATTGATTTTTCTTTAGTAAAAAAAACAAATTTGTTTAAAAAAAAAATTAATTACTTAATAAATTTGTTTTTCTCCTTGTGATAAAAGTATATTTAAAAAAGAAAAAGATTCGATTAATCTTGTTAGGTACAAAAGAAAAAGAAATTGAAAATTAAAATTGATAATATAAAGCTTATCGTTTTCGTTCCGAACCCCTGTCCCCTATAAACTTTCCGTTTGTCAGTCTTTCTGATAAATTGGTGGCCAAGACGAGTCTCGAACTCGCGACCTTCGCGTTATCAGCACGATGTCCTATCTGGGGATGATGACGCGATGCATATATTGTTTATTTATAAGTAGTATAGTTATCTCTGTAATATATTAGTGTCTCGCCGTCGTTTATTTATATAGGAATAGTTATTATTTTTTTATAATATTATTTTGCAATGTTATTTTAGTAAAAAAAAAAATGAATCAAAGATAATCATCTATTATTTTTTTTTACACTATTTATATTATATTAAAAAAAAAAAAAATAACATTGCAAAATAATATTATAAAAAAAATAATAACTATTCCTATATATATAAACAACGGCGAGACACTAATATATTACAGAGATAACTATACTAATTATAAATAAACAATATATGCATCGCGTCAACATCCCCAGATAGGACAGCTATCCCCTTCAAAAACCTTACCCACCCTCCAGAATCCAGTCGCGCTCGGCGTCTGATATTGAATACTCCAACCAGTCCATGAATTCCGGAGTCAGGTAAGTTGCCTCAAGCTATGGTATATTCCGACTCCGGCGCCTGCACTCCCTCCTCCGCGCTGTTCCTCCAACGGCTTCCTGCGTCCCCTGGTTCCTCCACTGGCCACGGGGCCACCTCGTTCTCCGCCAATTCGATTTCCCTAGACACCACTCCCTCCTCCTCACTGTTCCTCCAACGGCTTCCTGCGTCCCCTGGTTCCTCCACTGGCCACGGGGCTACCTCGTTCTCCGCCAATTCGATTTCCCTAGACACCACTCCCTCCTCCTCCTCACTGTTCCTCCAACGGCTTCCTGCGTCCCCTGGTTCCTCCACTGGCCACGGGGCCCCCTCGATCTCTTGCTGTTGACTTCTCACCCTCCGCAGCCCCCTCTGTGGACATCGACTGTGCAGAGGCCCAATCTGGTGACATCTAAAACAGCGTCTTTGCTCTCCCACAACCGGCCTCATTGTGAGATTCGGAACTCTCATCTGTCCCCACCAACCCGGGACCTGATTATCCAATACATTCGACGTCTTCAAAAATCCAACCTCTGCTAACATTCATCCTGGACTGGCGCTCTACAGGTACTCACAATCTATATACTCAATATATATATATACATTTAAAACTTATACACCTATCCACCCTTCCCAATTTTTATCCCCTTTATTTTATAAATCAACAAGAATAATTTGATTCCCAGGCGCTATAGAAACAAATTTTGAGGTTACCCGTGAATCCCAAATTTTTAGCGAAGCTTAAATACACGGAAGTGCTGCCCAAATTATTCGCGAAGCTTAAATATACGGAAGTGCTGCCCAAATTTTTCTTAAACCATAATTGTACGGAAGTGTTGTCCAAATTTTTCGAAGAAATAAATTACACAGAGGTACTACCAGTTTAGATTAAAGAAATCAAAATACACGGTAAATTCGCGGAGAGCAATTTAGACAACATCCTATCAATAATAGATATATTGATTATTTTGTTTGAGATTGTTGCATGTATATGTGCATTATTGGATTGTTTACGTTGTTAATAATATCTTATCTATTAACTTTACAAATAACCAAGATTTTCATTTTAAAATTAATAATAAATTTTTTATAACGTTCGGATGAAAAGCTTAAAATTTGTTAAGTATTGGGAGGTCCAGTATAATATTTTGGGGCGTTGGTAAAATTAATTATATGGATTTGTAGTTTAATTTGGGGCAGGAGAATGAAGAGAAGTCGCAGTGTAAAAATCAAAGGACAAACTTTAACCATTGAGGGGCATAATGGAGAGGAAGATATGATGGGCAGAGTAAGTTGCCGGTTCAGGAGTTAATTAGGGGGTGGACGGATAGCGATATAAGCAGAAGTTTATATGTAGCTGACAAGCAGGATTGTAATGATAATCGGGCATTGAGACCTTATAGAGAACCAAAAGAGTACTCTAGGGGAAGGAGAATGGAAATAAGACAGAGTTTTGAGCCGCAAAGGAAAGGGGGAATGAATTGTTATAATTGTGGTAAACCAGGTCATATGCTTAGAGATTGTCGTGATACAAAGTGTTTTGGTTGTGTATATATATATTGAGTATATAGATTGTGAGTACCTGTAGAGCGCCAGTCCAGGATGAATGTTAGCAGAGGTTGGATTTTTGAAGACGTCGAATTGTATTGGATAATGAGACAGCGACAGGTCCCGGGTTGGTGGGGACAGATGAGAGTTCCGAATCTCACGATGAGGCCGGTTGTGGGAGAGCAAAGACGCTGTTTTAGATGTCACCAGATTGGGCCTCTGCACAGTCGATGTCCACAGAGGGGGCTGCGGAGGGTGAGAAGTCAACAGCAAGAGATCGAGGGGGCCCCGTGGCCAGTGGAGGAACCATGGGACGCAGGAAGCCGTTGGAGGAACAGTGAGGAGGAGGAGGGAGTGGTGTCTAGGGAAATCGAATTGGCGGAGAACGAGGTAGCCCCGTGGCCAGTGGAGGAACCAGGGGACGCAGGAAGCCGTTGGAGAAACAGTGAGGAGGAGGGAGTGGTGTCTAGGGAAATCGAATTGGCGGAGAACGAGGTGGCCCCGTGTTCAGTGGAGGAACCAGGGGACGCAGGAAGCCGTTGGAGGAACAGTGAGGAGGAGGAGTGGTGTCTAGGGAAATCGAATTGGCGAAGAACGAGGTGGCCCCGTGGCCAGTGGAGGAACCAGGGGACGCAGGAAGCCGTTGGAGGAACAGCGCGGAGGAGGGAGTGCAGGCGCCGGAGTCGGAATATACCATGGAAGAGCTTGAGGCAACTTACCTGACTCCGGAATTCATGGACTGGTTGGAGTATTCAATATCAGACGCCCAGCGCGACTGGATTCTGGAGGGTGGGTAAGGTTTTTGAAGGGGATAGCTGTCCTATCTGGGGATGTTGACGCGATGCATATATTGTTTATTTATAAGTAGTATAGTTATCTCTGTAATATATTAGTGTCTCGCCGTCGTTTATTTATATAGGAATAGTTATTATTTTTTTTATAATATTATTTTGCAATGTTATTTTATTTTTTTTAAATATAATATAAATAGTGTAGAAAAAAAATAATAGATGATTATCTTTGATTTATTTTTTTTTTGAAAAAAGAGAAATAAATATTATTGAATATTATTGAGGTTTATTTTTTTGTTTAATTGATTTTTCTTTAGTAAAAAAAAACAAATTTGTTTTAAAAAAAAAATTAATTACTTAATAAAGTTTGTTTTTCTCCTTGTGATAAAAGTATATTTAAAAAAGAAAAAGATTCGATTAATCTTGTTAGGTACAAAAGAAAAAGAAATTGAAAATTTAAATTGATAATATAAAGCTTATCGTTTTCGTTCCGAACCCCTGTCCCCTATAAACTTTCCGTTTGTCAGTCTTTCTGATAATTATATAATTATATATACTGGTTCATTCATAAATATTCCTTTTTTTATTTCTCAATTCCAGTTTGCTTCAAGTAACAATATTATTACCCATTATTTAGTTATTGATTTTGAAAATTAATTCTTAATTTTTAAAATCATAATTCAAAATAAGCTGTAAAGTGATTTTCGGATACTCAAATTCATATTAAACCCCATCACTCCTATATAAATGATAAATCATTTTAGTCTTCTATTAATACTACATAATAATGTAAACTTCCGAAAAGTAGAATGGAACTAGAAACGCAAATATGCTATTGGTCCCTGGTTAAAATATTCACCCAAATTACGGGAATTAGGAGAGATAATCAGATTTACCCCAGGGATGGAAATCCATACAGACAGAACAATGCTAATGTTTTCAACGGAACCATTTGACGCTTATAATTAAGGATGAAAAAAACTTTTTTATTGATATACTATATTATATATTGTAAATTTTTTATTTTCACAGTTATTTAAATATAATTTTAAAATGCAATAAATTTAACAATACAAATAATAGACAATCAAACATTCATAAAAATTCTTTTATTGAAATATAAATTGGTCGTATTAAATCTCGTGAACAAGATGGTAGGGGTTGGTACATGATCATGAAGTTGATGTTCGAAGTAAAATATCATCATTTTATAGCCATTATCATTCCTACTAAGTTTATTTAAAAGTTTAATTAGTTATAAAAATAATGGCTAAATTTTAAAAATAATTTCCATATTGAACAAATGTTCTCACCCAATTTGCATGTTTTGAAAAATAAAATTTAATAAAATATTTTTATATTATAAAAATAGTAGCTAAATTTTTTTAAAAAAATTTCTTTGTTCCTTCGTTGGTGATGTTGTATTTTTTCCGAATTTTTATCCATTTTTTAGTGCCTTTTTTTAATTGTCATTTTCGTTTAATTTTTTCATCCTTACTTATGCATTTACAGTGGTTGACAACGAAAATAATAACGACAAAATGCGTATTATTTTCATTCTCAATAATAGGCTTGACTGACACAATTCCAAGTCATGTTGATATTTTTGTAAATTAAAAACGACGGATGTCGGAACCATACAACCAATCATTCATATGCCAACCTCAAGATCGATTTCGAGGTAGGAAGATTCCCTACCCCAAACGATGTCGTATTCCTTATAAGACCTCAGTGTATGAAGTTATATGTCACAGGCAATATTTTTATTATTATACAAATATGGTAATGATAATACAATATCGTTGACTGCAGATGCCATCATTTACTAGCCTGATCCTGATTTAAGAAATTTGATTTTTACCCCGATCATTAAATCGGGTAAAATCTACGGGGTATTTAACAAATCATAGTAAGATTATCATTATATATATTTTTTGGCAGACACTACATTTATAGTGAGTATAGTTGAGTAATTGCACTATTTTATGTCCAGCTTAAAAAAAGAGGGCTAAACGAAGTTTTTAGCTTAAAATTTTTACTAATGTTGTTAAACGGCTGGATTTGAGCCTATTTAAAAACGGCTAATTCAATATTTTATCCAGAAAATATTAGGCAAACTTGAGATTTTGGTCATAGATGGCAAAAAGGTTTGGACATTTATTAGCGAAATCTCGAGACTTATGCAATATTTTTCTGGCTAAGATATTGAGTTAGCCGTTTTTAAAAATCGGCTCAAATCGAGCCGTTTAACTACACATTAATTAATACAATAGCCTCAGGTTTTTTTAAAAAAATGTAGTACAACTGTGAAAAAGCATAAATAAATTAACGCGTCCTTCAACACAACGGTTTTTTTAAACGCGTGATTATAAGTAGAATTAGCCTATTATAAACAATTACCCCAAAGATAAAAGTTCATTGCTATTATATGTCCGTGTCATAGAATTTTCGAATATGTTACTTAGATTAAACCAACACACAGTTTGACAATAATGAATTTTTATTTATTTTAAAAAAAAACTTAAATTTATATTACTAATTATATCGGAACACGCGTCTTTAAACTGGGACATGGACATAAATCTCGCAAAGGGTTTCAGCTTTTCGCATATTCTTAATATATAAATATTAGATATGGTAATAAATAAATATTATAAATTAATACTAATGCGATATATAAAAAAAATATCAAGGTAAATAATAAATATACGGATTATTCCAATCAATGGCCCCATCTTTCTGGAGGAATGATGGGCTTGGATTTTGGCGCGACACATCTTTTAGTTTATTATTAGTCTCGTTCATAGTAATATTTTCATCCTTGTCTACAAGCCCATCTTGGAGAGAGGTAAAATTACGATTTAAACTCTTCCCTTTGCCCTTTTTAATTTTCTTAACGTACTTAGGCTTAAATTTCTTGTAATTATCGATGGCACCTAGCTTAACCCCGGCACGGGATTTGTGGGACCTCAACAATCGCATGAATTGCGTCGTAGGCCTGAACAAACTTGCCTTTTTCAAATTGTCCCTCTTGCGTAAGTAGCCGTTAGAAGCGTGGCCGTTTTTATATTTTGATATAATTTTGTATTTACGCTTGAGATTACCATTACCGCCACTGACTGGCGCTGCAACACTTTTGACTTGCGAAGTTGCGGCTTTATTGTTAGATGCCTTGTTATCAAGATTATCACTTTTCTTATCACATTTATTTTCCGAGATGGATTGTCGGTTATCCACAATTTGGTTTCTGAGTTTTAACGTGGCATCTTCATCTTTACTTTTACCACCAAGGTTGGATTCGAAGAATTGATTGATCAGCCCATAATCCCGGACAAATTTTTTTCTTTTTTGGCGTTCTCGCAAAATTCGACAATAATTATCGTAAAGAGCGAACTTGCAGTCTAAAAAGTTTAATTAAAAAAAATGTATGTAAGGATCGCATAAAAGGGAAGATATGATATAAATTCACTGGGCAAGCCTTACATTAGTTACTGTTAAATGATGTTTAAATATTTATTTACATCTCTGCCCTATGGGTTATTTCTTATATTTTATTGTATGACCAGTTTTATTTTAACGTCCCTCTAAGTTTAGTTTTTAAAAATAAATGGGAAAAGACGTATGACTGTGTTTTCTTTTAATGAGTTTTTTATATGGTTTTGGATTCCTTACTAAGGTATTCATTAAATATAAATTATATAATTATGTTGCTGAGATCGTGATTTTTCAATAAAAATATTTTATATACTTTTATAATTGCAATTGAATATAAATTATAACTGATCATTATAATATATTTAAATGACATGTTATGATAGTTAAATTATAGATGTTATACTAATAAAAAGTAAATTAAAAATTAAAACCATTGGTATCCTTACAGAATACAAAATTAGATATATCGGATCGGTAATCGGTCAATATCAATTAAATATCGGGAATATCGGATAAGATCGGCCTCCAAAAAGTGGTATCGGTACACCCCTAAATTATTCATTCATTTTATGCATCACCCATAATAATTGAAAAGTAAGATAAAACTTTAAGAATTTGAGGAGATTTTAAAAGAACTATAAATCAAAATATTAATATTGATTCATACCCAATACCATGAATCCAAAATTTATTAGCAGTTTTGGAAAAGAAAAGAAATTATAAATATTAGATCTCTCATATGCCTATTTTCAAATTAATGTGGGGGAAGAGTCTCAAAAATATCTTGTAATCAATATGCATAGAGAATTATTTAAATATCAAGACTATCCTATTGGTGTATCGTCTTTTCCAGCAATATTTCAACGAGCCATCAAGAATTTAATAAAAGGTTTTGAAGGAATAGCTTGTTATTTAGATATTATAAAATCGTGGAAAATAGAGAGAAGGATACAAATTTAAAAAAGGTACTAAAATGTCTAGACAAAAATTGAATCAAGCTAAAGATAGAAAAATGTAAAGTTTGATTTATAAAATAAGAAGGTAAGTTAAAAGTTTCTTGGAAATTTTTTTTAAAAAAACTTTTATTTTTAGAAGTCCTTAAAGCATTTAGAAAAAAATAAGAAAATTCCTAGCTTCGCCACTGATCTGTAATTAGAACCGGAACGGCTGATTTGACTATTCAGATTAGATGAAAGATTTTATTTTATAAATAAAAAAAAAATATACAAAATAAAAATATTGAATAGTTTTAGATATATATAAACATAATGTATAGTAATAATAAAATATTTTAAAAGTTGTAAAGTGAAGAAAAAAAATAATATAAATTCAAATATAATATTAAACTTATTTCAAGATCTGTGTCAGTAGGCTCATAATGCAAATCTTTTATAATATTTTCGGCATCGTTGCGGTATTCCTGTTTGATTTATTTTTGAAGGGGTTTAATTGTTTTTTTAAAAAATTAAATTTAGAAATTATTAATAAAATAATTTTTAAAAAGGTCATCTTTTTCCCCACCATAGAAGATACAGGATATTAATATAGACATAGAGGTTATTATTCCTGCAGACTATTTTAACGTTTACGTATAGTTGTCAAACAATTACTAAATTCAAAATCAATCGATTTTTCTATTATATTTGGAAGATCGGTAAGCAACCTTTAGGCTGGACTATTAGTGGAACGTGATAAGAAATGATGAATTGCTGATCGAATCCATAAAAAAAACCTTTTTTAATGAGAAATTTTCTTTATTAATATAAATTTACCTAAATTCCATGTGATAATAATATGAGAGTTATTAATATTAATTAATAACTATTTAATTCGTTAAAAGATTTTTTAAACTTGATCAGCTGTTTAATCATGTCATATCACTTCCACTATGAATCCTGTCTACACGATTTCAAGAATTAGCAGCTTATTTACAAGTTCAGATAGAGTATAAAGATTAGAGAAAAATCAAATATAAATTTTCAAAAAATATTATATTCATCCAAATTATTAAAGTTTACGCATTTATAATATGCAAATGATTTAAAAATATTGGTATCTTAAAATATAATAATACGTAATGAGATAAATTATAACATTAGATATGCTAGATGAGGTGCAGGGCCCCGATTTTGGTTATGTCAGGTTCTATTAAAATACTAACATATTTATTTATTATTTTAAAAAATGAAAGATGTATAAAAAAAATAATCAAGCCCTTGTTTAAAATTTAATGTGAGTTTAAACAAACTTTCAAAAAAAATAAATGATTTTTAACGTTAATTCCAAATTTAATTTCAAAAAAAATATATAAACGCCGCTAATGGCTAAACACTTAATTTAAAATATAAAAAATTTCATGTATATATTTTCTATATCGTGAATAATATAATATAGAATACAATTTTCAATATAAAATTATTCCATAGAAATTTAGTTCATTTTATTTTGAGTATAGTTTTATAAAAAACACGATACAAAGTACTTACAAACAGTGCTGTTAAATCATCTAACTTAAAAAAATTTACACAAAGCAAAATTGAATTCAATTATTTCTGTAAAATTTTATGATAAAAACACAGTTTTTTTCAAAGCGAAAAAAAATAAAAATCCATTGAAACAGTACGTTTTTTTAATGCGTGCGATTTTTTTTATTCTTTAACGATTAAATGGCGTTTTATAGGATTGAAATGAAAAGGTTCTTTTTTTAATTTTAAACCAGGTAAAATAAACTTACTCAATTAAAGTATTAGATCAATTGTGGATTTATAAAAAAGGTAAGATAGTTTGATATTGCATCATATAATGTTGCACATTTTTTATCTATAATTTTTAATCAAAGGATTTTTTAATTAATTAAGCAACATTATTTGATATAAAATATATTTATTTATATTTATTATTAAAATAAGGTATTCAATGAAATTAAGGAAATTGTGTTAATAAAAGTATTAGATAATTATCCATGATCATCATAATAGAAATGAATATTTAACAAATCAGATATTATATTTTTCCCAGAATATCTGAGATAATTACAAACCTTAGATAATATGATAGATATATTGGTAACATTTTTTACAATTTGCATAAATTTATATAAGAATATTATAAACAATTATATATTTACAATTAAAAACTTTAAATTATTTATTACCCACTTATATGGAATGCTATTTAATATAATTTTAATTTTCTATCTTTGTATTTTTTCCTTAAATATATCTCTTATTTCAATATTGTAAACATTATTCATTACCTATATTAATATCATTTTGAGCATTCATAATAAACAAACATTCAAATGATAATGTATGGATAATTTTTTTTGAGGAAGGAACCAGTAGAGGTCTGCATTTAAAAAAAAAATTTAACCCGCCCATATTTTCAAAAAAATATTACGCCCGCCTACCCACTAGTCTAAAATTCCTTATCCACCCGCCCATTAGTCTAAAAAATTTTACCTGCCCATTCATTATTTATAAAAAACCTATTCTTTCAATTTTTTAAGCATCTAATAAAAATATTTCAGCATTACACTTCTACAAGAAGTTTTATAATTATGAAAATTACTATATTAAGCATTAAAAAATATCCAATTTAAAAAATGCATAATTTATTTGATCAATTAAAATACTTATGAAAAATATAAATATAAAGATATTATGTAATTATAATGCAAAAATAATAATGAATCAACATTTTCTGGATTAAAACAGGTTTTCTTTGATCTAAAAACCTTCCAGCAATGCTAAATTCTCGTTCAAATGAAACACTAGTTGCAGGAATTGCCAATATTTTTCTTGCTCACCATGTAATTTTAAATATACAAAAGAGTTTTTAAAATACCAAAAATGGACATTTTAATATTTAATATCCAAAAAGTTCATAAGAACTATTTTTTATCAATATTTATTAAATAATTTTAAATTTTTTAATCCCACCCACCAATTGTTTAAATTTCTTAACCCACCCATAGTTTATTAAAATAAATAAACAACCTGCCCATTCTTAAAAAAAATTTGCCCGCCCCCTGCCAAATATGGGCAAATGGGCGAGCTGAAACCCTGCCCAATGCAGACCTCTAGGAACCAGCTTAAATTTTTATAATCAAAGATTAATTTATACCTTTTCATAGTCATCTCTCAGAAATGAATACCCTATTGTGCTGGCTTGTTTAGGATCAACAGCTTTTGCACTATCTGTTGTGCTGATATCAATATGATTGGTATTGTCACTCAAGTGATCAAAATTTTTAAGTGTGGCTTATAAAAAAAATAAAATATGGAGTAAAAAAAATATGTCATATGTCATATCTCTTAAAATTTACATTTAAAATGTAAATAAGATAAACAGTAATTAATTTAAATTTATATTCACTAAGAAGGAAAATGTTCAAAAGAAAAATCAAATATTCAGGAAAATTAATTAATGCAGATTAAAATGGAGATTGATCAATATAAATTATATAAGAAATGAAAAATCAGACACTTAAAATAAATTCTTAAAATGTTTATCAAAAAACATAAAGTCACCAATACCTCTTATTTTTTTATAAATACCATCAATACTTAAAAAAAAATAGAAATATCTTAGTCTTCCTGTATAAAATATTTTATTTTAGATTTATGCAATAATGCTTTAATATTTAATAAAGCTTGTAGTCTACAACAAAATTTTAAAATTAAGAAGAAATAGGAAAAGAATTATAAACATCTTTATTATCAATATCAGTTTTATAGTTATTAGTTAAAAGTAAAATATTGGATATTCAATAAAGAATGGTCAACCTTTCCCTAAATTTCCATTAATATAAAAGGTTTCAAAATGTTTGCAAATATCTTCAGAACTTCTCTTGTTATTAAAAGCATTTGATATGGCTTCCCTAAATTAAGATATTCATATAACAATTTCTATGCATAAAATTACCAATTTCCTAAGCCATAATGTTCTATCGCATCAAGTAACTTTATCTCGTCAGATGCATTCCAACTATCATTTGTATTAAATATTGGTAAATTTGATGTCTAAAATTAAGTAGCTATAAATATTATTATTCTTATATTGGTACATTATATTCAAATTTATGTGTATATTTATGTTTTCCAATTTCAGCACCAAAGCGAAAGCACTAAAGAAATATTCATACAATGTTTATATAAATTACTTCTAAGCACAAAATGATATCTATACATTCTTTGCATACAATAACAAGATCCTTAATAATATTTTGACAATTAGAGCACTGATTTTTCGCCGCCTTCACTGTATATGATTTATTTTTACATCTTTCAGATAGCATAAAAATAATTTTTAAAGAAACATATGTTCTGGATCTGCTTATAAGCTACGACGAAATATAGATTTTTATCGAGGAAAAATGAACCACGTGCTCTAAAAAATAAACCCAATGACAATTTTATAAGCCCTTTTAGGTACATGATAAAATTTAGCCAAGTACATTGGCCTTTATGGCTTTTGTACTTGGATGCTTTATTATAATTCTAACTATAAAAATCGAAATTTTGGGACAACTAATATAGCGAAAGATATATAATTCAAAATGGAATAAATATTACAAAGCAAGAAAAAAAAAGTAACAACATTACTCGCGTTGCTATTATACACGATATATATATTTAAAATTGAGTGGGGATGTTAGTTCTTAGTATCTTGTTGTTTATTAATTTTCAATTTTTCATAGCAAGTCCCTAGAAGCGAAGTTATCTATACCTAGTTCCAGGTTCTAATCAACGGTTCTGAAACAGTGGCATCTCTAGGGGGGAAAGGGGTGCAGGGGCTTGAGCCCACTGAAAAATTTGAATAGCCCCCTGAAGCAAAAAAATTTTTTTTAATGACTCCTTAATATCCCCTTGAATTAAAAATAAATTTTTTTGATTGCCCACTGAATGATTTCTTTTATAATTCCATTAAGTAATATATAGATATAATTTTATTATTTAGAAATTAATAAGACTATTTAAATTTTTATTAAATGAATATTATTTTAATTATTAGATTAGATTAATAGTTATATATAAATTATATTATCACTATGTCAGCTTGCAATCAAATTCTGTATTAAATATATAATATCAATAAGTCATTAAGTGTTAATTTAGCTTTAACAGTTGAAGTTTAATTGACTTTTATTATTAAACTATTATTTAACCCTAATTAAATAATTATAATCATATATTATTTGAAAATTAACAAATTTAATATTGTAATTAGCACAGTTCAAAATTACTAATCAACTCTATATTTATTTTTAAATTTTATTATCATACCTTAAAAATATTTTCAAAGTCCAAATAAGTATAAGAGATTTCTTTATAAAAAGTAAGTAGATATATAGTTTATAAGTCTCTACTATATACAGTTGTTTATAAAATATTAGATATAATGCGACTTTTATAGACGTATTTGACAGTTATGCAATATATTACAGTTAATATTGTAGTAATACCAACTACTAATTATAAACAATACGATTATTAATTTATATTTCAATTTATTTTTAACATCAAATTTTTATTGATTGTTTTTCGAATGTTCGATTCTATTTTAATATACAATATCTATAAATAATCATTTATTAATTTATTACATTTCCTTCAAACAATTTAAAGTTAGATTTCTTCAATAAACCTCTTTGTAGGTTTACGGTTTCTTGATGAGCAACTTAATGTGGTATTTGTATTTGTATTTGCTTCATTCATTGGCACAACCATTTCTGTAACTTCCAAAGAACTTTCATGATTTGTGATAACTAAACGATTTCTTAACTGATCTGCATGCTTCTGTAATGTTTTCCCGGAAGATTCAACAATATAAGAATAAAGTCCTATTCTTTCTTTAATTACTCCCTCTCTCCAACCATTGGTATTTTCATTATTTAACCATATAGGTTGTGAGATTTCAAATTCTCTTTCCTTTGAATGTAAATCATGATGAAGGCTTTGTTTATCATTGGCCCTTACTATTTCGTGTTCGGCATTTGGTCGGATCCAATCCAGACTTATTTTCAATTGCCTCCCAAACATAATTTTAGCAGGAGATCTCCCTGTGGAACTATGCTCTCCCAATCGGTAGGTTGTTAAAACCTGTGTCATAGCTTCTTCGGGATCGCTAATTGAATCTCTCGTTGCATAATACCGACCTTTCAAAGTTCGTACTGTACGTTCAGCTAATCCATTAGTTTTTGGATGATAGGGTGCCGAACGTATATGACGTATGTTATTTAAATCACAATACCTACGGAATTCCCCTGATAAGAAATGTGGTCCTTTGTCTGACACACTGTACTTGGGTATTCCAAACCTAGAAAACCATTTATTTAGTCGTTTTATCATAGCATCAGCAGAGGTATTCTGCATTAGATCAACTTCTAACCATGGTCTATTTTTCTGGCATCCAGAACATATTTTGATAAAATTTTCTATATCAACATCACATCTGGGCCACCAACAATACAATCTAAAAATAGATTTCATTACATTTTCCCCAGGATGTCCCCAGTGAATCATTCCTAACACTGCATTTCTTAATTTATTAGGAATAACCAATCTCCCAATCCATTCTATAATATTACGATTGACAGAAAGCTCTTCCCGTCGATTATAAAAATTAACTATTTCTTTATCTTTATGACGATCAAAGTTTCGCCAACTTTGCTGAATATGTATTGCTACTTTTTTTAATATTAAATCTTGCTTCGACTCTTTTCGCAGAATATTTTCTGACAATTGCATATCATCCAAATTAATACTTCGAATATCCAAAGCATGTTTAGAATCTTGATTCTCTTCCGAAATTTCTTGGTGTTTATTAATCAAATCTCGAATTCTAGAATCTAGTGTTATGCAACATTTTTCTTTTTCAATATTGTTGACCAAATTGCTTACTTGTTTAATCATAACCTGACGAGGCATTTCTAAATTGAATGCTATAATCTATGGTAATCCGATAAGAGGCACCCCAATTGTATTCATTATTACCACTGGTAGAGTCCTTGCCTGTGATCCAATCCTAACATTGACTTGGGTCTCGCCCTTGACGTCTAACGGATGATCACCATATGCAGTCAATAGACTGGTTGGCCTAATTTTTGGTCGCCCAATACTTATCCATATATCAATTCCTATCAATGACGCTTGTGCACCAGTGTCAAAATCAAATTCAACATCTAACCCATTTATCTCTGCAGTTAGTTTTGCTCGATTCTCTCGATTTTGTTGAATCTTCCAAATATTATGAATAGAATCACTTGATGACACTCTTATATAATTTAAATTCTTTGATTTACAGCAAACTGCAAAATGACCAATTTTTTTACATTTATTACATGCCGCATTTGTAGCTGGACATCTCACTTCTCGGTTATGAATAAAACCACATTTATAACATTTAAGTTTATTATAATCTTTATCTTTATTATATTTGTATTTATTATTCTCTTTATCAAATGTATTATTATACTTGACTTTATTATAGCCTTTATCAAATGTAGTCGTCGTTTTAATATCTCTATCAAGACCGTCGGGATATAGAGCTCTAAGATCTCTTTCCAATCCCGGTATTACCATGACAACCATAAACTGATCACGTAAACGCTCGTCAATATCATTTAGATAATGACAACGCTTGCCAATTGTTCTAATTTTATCTGCAAATTCAGTTATGGTTTCAGTTGTTCTCCGTAATCTAACGAAATCAAATCTAGAAGCAAAAGCTGTTGACGTCGGTTTAAATAGTTTAAAACATATTGACTTAATTTCCTTAAAAGATAAAGTTTCGATCGAATCAGGATAACAAAAACGGTCCACCAACTCAATATTCTTATTGCCAAAAAATGTTAAAAATATATCTTTATATTGACATTCAGATGGGCTTACGTTTTTTAACCGAAAACTGGCTTCCCATTGAGAAAAATATCTGTGGATAGAAGTGTCCAACTCGAATTTATCAAATTTAATCGTAGATAAATTCGCTATTTTTTTTGAATCTCCATTTAAGGAATTATTTTCTCCATTTAAGGAATTATTATCTCCATTTAAGGAATTATTTTCTCCATTTATCGTCGCCATTTGTACTAATACCATCTACTAATTATAAACAGTACGATTATTAATTTATATTTCAATTTATTTTTAACATCAAATTTTTATTGATTGTTTTTCGAATGTTCGATTCTATTTTATATACAATATCTATAAATAATCATTTATTAATTTATTACAAATATTATAATAAATTATACTAATAAATAGTTTTGATAATAAATATAATAACAAATTTCATTCAAGTGTTTAACGCCATCTATTTTGTGATAAATAATTTTAAAATTAAACATTTTATTATTCATCCTATAGATGTAATACATTTGATATCTTTTCTTCTCTTTTTTTACGTGTTTTTAGGTAAGTTATTTTTTTCTTATTCGAAAAACAGTCTTGAGTTAAATTTTTAATGCAAGTTTATTTTTGATATTATTACAAACTACTCTTATAAGATAAGATATAATATACCAAGGTGGTGCGACAATATATAAAATCTTAATTGTTTCATCATATCATTCTGGTCCTTATTTTATAGTTAGAAAATGTTTCATTTCTAATATGGCATTGCCGTGTAAATAACTCCAGGCTTCAATATATTTGCATAATTATTTCTTACAAATATTTTTAGTGTTTTTATTTTATCAATTTATCCAACATAATAAATTATGATATTAGTTTACATCGTGGGTGTCATGGCTATTACTGCAAATTAACCAGCATCTATTATTTGTGTTGCTATGTAATTTAAGATTATTACTAACGACTGAGAGCATATAATTGCATATTTTAGATAAACAATAATAGTCAAAAAATGGAAGATAATCTTTTAGAAATTTAATATGTCACAATAATTTTCTCGATTACTTATCTAGCTTTCATCATATCACCTAAGAGGAAGCTCTAACCACCATATAGTTTTATGATTTGGAATGGTCGTTTTTACTCTCTCCTTCAAAAATTGTTGTCTTGGTTTAAACCTATAAATTTTTCCTTATTAGTCCATTCTATTAAAACATGGTCTAAAATGGTAATAGAGAGTTATACTAGTTTGATATACTGTTGTCAATGTAAGTTGCTAAGAAATATATTATTGCATTATGTGGTTTATTATATGCCAATGCCAGTTTATTTTGTATGCATAATATAATAAATGACAATATATGAAAATCAAAATAATTGTTCAGAGTTAACAAATTTTTAAACAGTATAATATATAAATATAAAACCCGGGCGAAGACCGGGCAAAAGCGGGGCAAATTAAAGGGTATGGGGAGCTTCGCCCCCTATAAATTTT